CATTCATTATTATCTCGCCTGGCGAGACACTCCGTGTGACCTCCCTTGTGGAAAAAAAAATGTGCTGACTGTGCTCCTTCCCTCCACTCCGAATTCCAATTTCGACGGTTTTAAATTACACGTTACCCTCTGACAATATAGTAATTATATATTTTCAACAGCTTTAAGCAAAGAGTAAACTGTAGCGTTAAGCTTAAGATTGTTTTTAAAAGGTTTCGTATATCGAAGATGAGATTTTATAGAACAAAACATCAATCGAAAATTAACGGTATAGACTTAGTGTATCCTCAACAGTGGCGTAGGCAGGGGGGGGGGGTTAGTTGGGGGGTCATACCCCCCCCCCCATAGACCCCTCGGTATATAGAAAAAGTATGAGGGGGGGGGGGTGCAAATCGAAAGCTTGAGGGGGGGGGTGCAAATCAAAAGTTTGTCCCCGGGTAAAAATTGGAACCCCCCCCCCTTGAGACGATCCTGGCTACGCCACTGATCCTCAAACAAACTCTTTGTTTGTACCTAGATCTGTTAAACAACTCCTGGTATATGTAACTTTGTTCCGCTGTTATCGTAACAAACAAATGACGTCAGCTTTGACAAAAATCCAACATTTTATATTTCACGGTATCTGTTCATTTATAATCGCGAATAATTATTCAGAATGAAAGTAACTTTTTGGTTCTTCTAGAATTTAAACAAAAAATCCTTGCTGACGTATTATGTAACCTGTTACGTTGGTCCATTTTACCGTGGCTTATAACTGGTGCGTTTTTACCGCCGTTCTTTACCCTGCTTTTTTTTTTTATTTAGTGAGCGGTTCTCATGTTGCGTTACAGTAAGATATTAACCAAAATAAACAAGGACCGAATTTTATTCAGATAAAAATTTAATTTAGATTATAAACTATGCTTTTATTTTTAGCTTCTTTTAAAACAGAATTTCGATTTATTTTTAAAATTTTGGACCTCTTCATATGATATTATTTGTACAACGTAAACAAATATTAAAATTTTCACTTTCTCGTATAGAGGAAATATTGTGATCGTGCAAAAAAAACTGAAATCGAGATTAGGACAAATCTATTTTACACCTCCTTGAGACGGAAAAACTTAGTTTTGCAAACTTGTCTGTCTCGATAACCTCAGTACCATATCAGCTAGGTTGTTGAAATATTATATATTTAAGTATTATATCGTATTTCCGGTAAACGGAAGTGGTACTTTAATCTATTTCCTCGTGAGTACTTGAGTTAGGTAGAATAAATTTCATTTACAAGTATAAGATACTTGGATTACTTTCAATTGTTGAGTGACCTCCGATAAATGGAAGTATTACTTTATTTCAAATTATGGGTATTTTAAAAACCTAAACGTTTCAGTTAGGGAGACGAAACTTCATAAATAGTTGTAAGATCTTATTGTCTTGACTCTTTCAAATTTTTATTGATTTCCGGTTGCCGGAATTAGAACGCTGTTTCCTATTGCTCAAAAAAAAGATCACTTCTTTGGACTATCAAGTAGGTCAACTAACTTTTAAAAAATGAATCAATGTTTCCTTTACAAATTACTAATTTTTCTGCATTTATTTGGGTGCGCAATTTTTTTTTCTACGTGATTCTTTTCTAAATAAAAAATTTACTTTACGAGAAAATTTAAGGGTGATCATTCCGGATTTATGTGAAAACGTTGTCCTAAATGTTTATATCATTACAAATGCTGTCGTAAACTGTTGTAGCTCCTGAAAAAAAGTGAATATGAATAAATCTTATTAAATTAAAAAGTGGAGAGAACTTGATTTATTTCAATTGATTCATATCAATACGACATTTTAGCTTAAGTTATTATCTTTGATTGGATATATCATTGGGCCGTGATTTAAATTATGCAATCCCACCTGTTGTTTCTTACTTTTGAACGACAACCGGGCGTAGACCGGCCTAGTGCTATATTAACTATATAATATTTGTTAACATTTTTCAATAAGAAAGTAAATATTTTAAAATGTGGGTAATATTTTTATTATTATTATTTTGCTTAGTTAAAAAAAGACAGGAAACACGTCAAATCTTTAAGCATCCCTTTAAAATAACACCGCTCACGATTTTTTAAAAATGTTAGTTAGGCTAATACTTCTCCAATTTTTTCTCAGTGGACGCCATAGAAATTAATAAAAATGACAGCACAGCCGCGACCGTTGAATGAACGAAGCCAACAATTGGGTCAGTGTGCCAGAAACTAGATGTAAACTCTGACTGAATCACCGCTGGTTATGAAGAATATTTAAAATTAAAATTCAGTGATTACACACATACGCGCACATGTGAACACATATAAACACATGGGCCTAGTGCGGCTTGGCAATCGTAACCAGCCTTGCAAGCCAAAACTAGGTCACAAGCTATACAATTTACAAACGACAATGAATGAAATCTCCAATAATTGAGATCTACGTGAACGGTTCTCAAATAAATCGGGAGAATGATCCCAAGAAACTTTCTCGTTTACTGGTATATAAAAGTAATTCCATTTGCAGTGGAATCTGAATATTGTATGGTATAAAAGTGTGTGACAAAACCGCATACAGACAAAAAGTGCTTAGAATAAGTTACTTTGTGAGAATATGATATCAAATTTTCATATTCCGTGGTTGTTGTTTTTTTTTTTTTTTTTGGTTTTTTTTTTTTTTGAGAAACTGGTCGAGTCGACAAAAAGCTCATGGTTGATAAATTCGAGTCTCCAGTTCCAACAATCTGGCAGATAAGGCTCGATACCTTCCAACACTAAAAAATTAAGAACGAAGAAGAAGAAGAGAAACTGGAAACAGTGAAGTAAAACTTTCGGTTATCTGAAAATGACACAAGTTGTTTTAAAATCAACACAAAGGATCTGATACTTATGTATCAAATTTCGCTAATCTAACTGTAACGATACTCTAGTATCATATACATACATACATACAAACACACAGGCCTATAGACACGCTATCAAAACTGGGTAAAAGCCTAAATTGTAAGGGCTGGCTCACACCCGAACAAATAATTTAAAGAAAAAGTGCGGCTTGTTGTGATGGTCTTTGTTTTATTTAATCTAACAGTACGATCTTTATTTTTTCTTTGCTTGAACTTTGAATTGCGACCCACTTTGATATGGTCGCACTGATGTAAAAGTGCGATCAATGTGATGTTTTTTGTTGTTACTTTTTTTCTTTCTCGTATATACGAAGTATAGAGAAAGTCTTTTGTAAATCTTTTTGTAAATCTCGGCGTGTTAAAGCTCCCTGAGTCGGAAAAACATAGTTTTGCAATCTTGTCCATATGTCTCTGTGTGTCTGTATATAAACACGATAACTTGAGTAACGTTACAGCTAGGTTGATGAAATTTCATACATAAGTATTATATCAAAATCGTAGATCCGTATCAACTTTTGAGTGATTTCCGATAACCGGAAGTGGAACTTTTTCTTACTTTGAATTTCTCAAAAGCCTATAACTTGAGTACTATTTCTGATAGATAAATGAAATTTCATATGTAAGTAAAAGATCTAATTTTCTACCATTTGTCAAATTTTGAGTAATTTCTGTTGACCGGAAGTATTAATTTACGCTATTTCCCATTTCTAAAAAAAAAAGCATGTGAATTTATAAAGTACTAATAATATTCCGCACCATTATGCGCATTTTATTTGGCGTTCACTTGGTGTGCAATAGTTTTTTTTACGAGATTCTATTCTATTTTTAAAAGTTTTAGTATTTAATAATGGATTAAAAATCATGTCTATATCCCGAGTTGCCATCCCTTGTTGTTTTATATAAGAATATTCGAGAAAGTTTAGGGGAGATCACTCCCGGTTTATTTAAGATTTAAGTGCAGCGACTTTCGCCTTGAAGTAATACTTCGCCTCAAGAGTTTGAATTGGATTTGCTTTAACAACTGTACAGGGTGTCAAAAAATGCGGACGTGCACTTTAAAAACTTACTACGAACAAACACGGAGAATTTAAATTAAGTGCAACCCGTACACAAATTTAAAATTTGATCTGGGTCTTCTCTTGCATCTTGCAGAGATAAACAAATGGACTAGTTGAAGAAGCCACAAAAGCGTGTTTAAATATTAACTTCCATAAAAACAAAAGTAATATCTATAAATAAATGGTTTAAACAAGTTAATAAAAAAGTCTAGTGACATTTATGCGCAATTTCCTTATGTTATCTAAAAATAGCTCTGACGTATATTGCTGGGGTGCGTCCAAGCTAGAAGAACGATCGGTTTGTAGGTGTTTATGTAATTTTAAAATTTGTGACCGAACGAGAGGATATTTTTGAAAACTTTCTTCGGCAATATTGTTCTAAATTATGGCAGGAATCGATTGGTACATGTTTCAAGTCGCTAAGCGGTCTGGTTGCCGAGATATGGGCCAAAAACTGAATTTTTTCGAGGTTTTTTGGCTTTTCCGGGAAATACATGAAAGAAACCCGGAATTTTTATGGCCTATGCTCATTCTCGTAACTTGCTTAACATAATTGCTTTTGGAACAAGTCATCGATATTGCTTCGTTGAGGAGGAGATACGACTTAAAGCCCGGACACACATTCATCCATACATTCATTCATCCATCCCCAGAAATGACGAGTTAATAAACGCAATTCTCCAGAATGGAAATTGCGCTAAAAAATAAAGATAAATAAATGTGATATTTTACTTGTAGGGTGTCAAATGGGAGGTTACCAACCAGGATGATCAAGCTAGGGACGGCGTGGTCGAGCGGTAGGGTGCCCGACTGACAACCCAAAGTTCTCAAGTTGTCAGGACTGCATGACGTTCCCAAGTCCACTTATTGCTGATGGGTACCTGACTAACGTAAAAGAAAGAAAAGGCGTCCCTACATAATGCTGCCTCCAATATTCCTTTATATGCCGAGGTCACTAAAACAGGTAAATTTACCTGCCCCAAGGGCACAATTTATAGCTACACAATTAAACAAAGACCAAGTTTTTGTAAAATGATGTATTCAAGTAAAAAAAAAAAAAAAATTCTGTTCACAACAATAAGTTCCACAAGTGGAATGTCTGTTTTAGTAAAGGCAGTACATGATATCTAGCTCCTCAATCATAGTTAAAACTAGAAAAACATGTAGTTCTAGAAGAGCATGCATGTCTAGAAGAACATGCAGGTCTAGAACTATATGTAAATTCTAGTTACAGCATGCTAGTTAGTTTAGATAGTTGTTTAGATGTATGATATTCTAATTTCAACATCAGCTTGTGTATTGCAAATCTGCAACTTACAAAAACAAACAAGGACATTAGGTTTATTAGGTTTGTCTAAATTATATATTTAGCAAACTAGATATAAAAATAGAAAAATGCTTGAAGATTGTGAGCTTTGAGTTGGGGCTGATTGAGAAAGTGGTTGTGACATCATATGGAACAGATTGTTTGAATTAAGTATTCCTGCTCTAATAGAATAAATCAGTTACAGTTTTAACAAAAAGAGAGAAAATAGCTAACTTTTGTTTAAAGAAGTCAAGAATTATGTCATGTCTAGAGCAATTTGTCATTTCTTTTCTAGAGCAACAGGCCGTATCATGTTTACAGCAAGATGTCAAGTCTAGGGAAACATCCTGCAAACACACTAACCTACTTTCTGCTAGATTCAAACGATGTACAATAGCTGCCTTAAAAAATAAAAAAATGTATTCATTTGATTAAGACAAACATTAAAAATAAATTATATTGATTTCACTATCTCTTGTCAAAGTGAACAGTTAAATATTGTAAAAAAGCATGGCGACAGTGTAAAAAACAACATGAAACCACATGAAGTTATTAAACACTGACACTACCAAGAGCTCCATTCACAAGCTCTACATGCAGCAGGCACAATGTTTTAAAACTGACAATCTACCTAATCTAAGATGTATGTTATGAATAATTCAAGAACATTTGGACCACCAATGGAAAAGATTTAGGACCATCCATCATCAACTTTATTATCATTATACGATTCTTTAGGATGAAATGTAATAATAATCTATTAAAAAACAAGCCATACATTTGGTTAGAACTTAAAGTTCTGTGGTTACATAAATTCTTCAACTGTCATGTATATATGTTTTAAAATACCAAGATTATATTCCTTATTCAGCAGTTATAGAACTGCTGCCTTGTAAAGGCAACAAGAAATATTTCATTGTGGAATTGTTATAGCATTTAAATCATATTTACCATCGCCATTTCCAGCTATTGATAAAATTCAAAAATATCTATCAATGTTACAAATTATGGCTTGACAGAAATTGAAATTTATAAATTTTATAATCAAACACTACATGCTTAAGGAAACCAGACATTAAGGGCAGTGCAGTCAATCTTATTGAACAGGAGATGGCAGAATTGTGTCAACATGTGTGGTTTAAGGGCAGTAATTCTCACAGAACAGCTGACAGACTGTTACTTATTAAATGACAAATAAAACTAGCCAGAAAATATACGAAGTGGTCTCTGCAACAAGATACTAAGCGGCAGTCACTCTTATTAGATAAGAGCTTTGTTACAGTGTGGGATTTCATTTTCTGAGGCTTAAAAAAAAGCAAAACAAATTAAGTGAATCAACGTCATAATCCACTCCAACTTAGACACTAAATTTCACCTAAAATGTAAAACTAAATGCCAATGTGTCTCATCATGAATACAGCAATGTCACATTCTGCTTTGGTGCTGCTTCATGCAAATGAATACTATGCTACAACTATAGTAATTTGCTTTAAAAATGTATACAATAGATAAACTGGGGTTTTTATATGAATAATAAGTCACACTATGACAACTTAGTACTGAATTTCCTAAAGGAGTTGATTATTATTTTGTTGGTGAAAGTTTTTTTAAAATTTGTTTTAAAAACATGCATTAGCAGTTGGAGGGTAAAACTTGGTTAAGAATTGATGAAAAATATCTGTCTGGTATCATAACAATAACTGCAGTAAAAAGGTGGAATACTTGATTGGAACATTAAGAAAAGTTACAATCACAACAGCTTTATAAAATTCGTATTTAACAAAGTACTTCATTAGTACATTTACACATTATCAATTTAACATTATCTAACTTAATTAGCTTTTTAAGACATATATATATATTGTTATATATGTGTGGGCTACACCAAGTATTTGGAATAAATGTAGGTGGAAATAGCAAATAAAACAATGGCAAGACTAAACAATGAAGCTATTAGTTTCTGCTTAAAAGAATACAATAAACATGTAAAAAAATTTAACAAAGGTCATGAAGCAACAAATGTGGTAAAAAGAAGAGAACTGTATCACTCTGTGATTTATTAAAAGGTATAAAATAAGGACCAAGCCTTTTAACTCTTTTTTTTATGCTGGAATTATTTTTAATAAATTATTTGATATATTAAAAAAGTTTTAAAATGTAAAATCATTCAAATACACCCTTTCACAAACATTTTTACACAATTTTAAAATAATTCTGCTTTACATTTTAAGGCAGTGAACTCAAAAATTTGACTTTAAAATATAATAAAAATAAACTTCCAAATAATGAAATGGCCAATCAATGGTTTTTAAATTTGATAAAACAATAAACATTTTTTTTAAAAACAAGGGTAATAACTGTCAATTTTTTTATAACAAACAGTGACCTTGAATTGTCACAAATAATACGCTAAACTAAATTGCTAAACTAACATGCTTCTTTCAAATAAAAAGAAAAATTATTGCATTAAAAATTTAACAAAGAATAAATTAACATTGCAGCATAGAAATCCATCCAAATTAATTCACTCTGTTACTAGATCCAGTAATGAGGTTGTAGCAAGGATCAATATATTCATCAATGAATCAATCACAAGTTCATGTTACACGCCATGATCAAAAAGCTGCAGGTTGTATTCTCTGATCAGTTTCTCACAGTCAAAACTTCTTCCATACACTTTAGCAGTCAGACAGATTGTGCTGGAACTCAGGAGCCCCTGTAGAGTGAAAGGCTGACTGACACCAACACTGCTGCCACACCTCCTGCTAGTAGAGTCCATTTGATCAGCTGCAAGTACACAGTCAACAAATCATAAAACAAGATTCAAAGGGGGAAAATAGCAATTTTTCTACACAGTGCTGAGTCCATAAAACATTGTATTTTGTTTGTCTATTTTTAAGAAACACATCAAATCTATCACCTCATGCAGACAACTATTTCAATTTAATTAATTTACATGTATATTTGCGGCTTCTGACTAGCAAAAAGAAAAAGATCATCTATTACGAGCATATAAGAAACAGGATATGTACTTAGCACACAGTCTAAAGCAACTTATGCACCAAGAAAGCATGCACTCATGGATGATAATAATAACAGGCAGTTTTCATTCAAACATAACACCTGTTACTAAAGTGACAAACTAGAACAATTCTGGAGCACAAAAAAACTTTTACTCAAAAAAAAGAAGAATATTTGTGGTGAACATAAATAGTTACTCACAGAACTAGAACATTTCTAAGACATAAAACTTTTTCTTCTTCTTCAATTTTAATTTTTAATGTTAGAAGGGATTCCCTCCAACACAATTGAGTATTACATGTCAACTTGTTACGTGCCATAAAGCCAGTCAACTGAGATCTTAGCCTGCTTTTCTTTTTGTATTTGCTTCCATAGCCTTTTTCCACCCAAGAACAAACTACAAGGCAGCAGTTGTTTAATTTTGGATTTTTTCTCCAAGAAGAGTTGATGTATTCAGCTATCGAGCCTCATCTGCCCAGGGGTTCAAACACAAGACTTTTCAGTTTAGCAACCCTGAGCTTTACCAACTCGTCCACGCCAATCCCATGACATAAAACAAAAACTCAATGCCTAAAATAGTTACTCACAGAACTAGAAGACTTGGGCTTGCTGGGAGAAACATTTTTGTCCCCTGGTTTTACACCCAACATTCGTTGATAAAGTTCTCTCTCTGTTGCCGTTTCCTTTTTCTTCCTCCGAGTCAGGCTAAGCATCTCTTGGTGTAACAGTTTGGAATCTGGATCTAGTTTAATTGCTTGACGCACAAAGTCTATAGCCAGTTCAATATCACCCTTTGCTGCATAAGCCTAGTGATAGATAATTTAATGTAATATTGTTTATAAAAAAATTACATTTTGATAAAGCTAAAACAATTATTTGTAAAAATTACTATCTATAAATAATATATTTTATACAAAGATGTAAGCAAGCACATCTAAGCAGTAAAATAATAGGGGAGGGAGAGTTTCAAATAATTGAAGGTAGACCTATTCTTTTGGTTTTTAAGGTGAAAGTTAAAACTGCAATGAAAATTTTATAATAATTGAAATCTACATTTAAACACTATTATTGGGCCCTGATAAATTCTGAGAGCAAAAATATAGTAAAGTGTTAGTACCATAGCTTACACAATATTAATCTAATATTAACTACTTTTTTACATTTATGTCATCCCAATGACAATTAAGTTTTTTTACGCAAAAGAAATTAATCCAAAATTAAATATTAATTAACAACATAGTTAAGTGTCAGTCAAGTGTCATAGGCTTATCATAGATCTCACTATAAGCACAATCAATGAAAGAGGGTGGGATGTGGTTTAGGTTATGGAGCATGTAAACCTAAAATGTACCAGTAAATAAAATTGTGTTAGAGTAACCTAATGAGAACTGCTCAAGTCTTGGCACATTTTTTATTCATACATAAAGTTCTTCAAATACATTTGTCTTCTCTTTTTTAATATTAATTTTTAAAAAAGAAAAAAAATGGATTCAGGAGGAAGTTTTCTGACATATTTTGGAAAATCACTCTGCAAGAAAAGTATTTATTTTCAGGGGATAATTTTTCTGTTTTCTCTTTTAATTGTAATGTTGGAAGGGATTAACTTCAACACAATTAAATACAGATTTCTGTAAAAAAGTGAAAACTTAATAATCTCTGTTTATATATCATTTAGCAACATTAAGACAGGAGACCCTACCTAATTACAACCTTATGTCCCATGAAACTGTCTCTATGAGAGTACTAATATTGCTTACACCGTGCTACACACTAATTGTTAAGACAGGTCAAAAAACAGTAATAAAGAATGAAGAAATTTACTAACAGGAGCTTATACAAATAAATATTCGTCCACACCCAACTGAAACGGTACTCAAATTATCTGTCAATAGTTAGGAAATCAGAAATATAGTAAACTAAGTAACGTACCACTTCTAAAAACAGAGGTCACTAAAAAATTGAAAGTAATTTTGGTGTAAGATTTTACACATATATGAAATTTTTCGTCTACCTAACTCAGACAATACTGAAATTATCGGCTTTTGAAAAACCAGGAGCAGAGTAAGTACCAAAGGTGACATAAAAATACAAAATGGATAAATATTTAGACATGTAGGTGTAAAGACAAGATTTGTCAAAATTTTGATTTTTTGCATGTTTACCCATGCTTTCTCTGCAAAAAAGTAAAAAAGAGAATAGCTATTTTATGCTGGTATACTGAGTTTAGAGGGACTAACATTTCCAACTACAAAAACTTACCTTTCCTATCCTAAACAAAGCTTTAATGTTGTTCCTCTGTTGAGACAAAACTTTTTCACATGATCTTATGGCTGCATCATGTGCTTCAATCTAATAATAATGTACATTGGATAAAAACAATCAGAATTTTTTTTTAAATACAATGTTGTTAAACATACCAAGGGAGTAAAACAGAATTATTTTTTTAGACCTAACAGTCAATTGAGATGCTAGCTATAGCTAATGAGTTTCTTTGTCCACAGACAACAACCTTATTGTTTGGTTAACTATTCTCTGCTATTGCATTTCAAATAGCATTATTAAAAGGTAAAGGAATGTTACGTATTTAGAAACAAGGTTTTGACCATACCTTTAACTGACAAGCTGCCATGTTATTGTAGCATTTGACCCACGCCTCCGTCATACAATTTCTAGCAGCTTCATCAAGACTTGCATTGTAATCTGAATCTGCTAAAAGTTTAATTGCCCTGAAAAACATTTTGGTCAAAAAAATTTATTTTTAAATTTCTAAAGAATGAATTTGTTTTATTCTTATTCATGTATACAGTATAAAGTATTTACTATTTAACAAATTCGACATAATATCTGCAAACAATATTTTTTTACATATTTACAAAAATATAAGGATATTCTAAAGCCTCTTTTCACTATGTAAATTATTTTAAATCATCAGATTATGAAAATACCATACTTGTTATATGAATTGATGGCCCCTGAGTAGTCTGCTCGACCAAATAAATAGTTGCCTCTCTCTCGTTTGTCTTCTCTACAATATTAAGAAAAAAGTGAATTATATTTTAACACGATTAGTAGACAATTCTCTCTAGATTATCCATCAATCATTTAATCTTGATGGGTATTTGCATCATGTCTTCGTCGCCAAAATATTTTTTAGACTGCATTTACTAGAAGGGAAAGAATTCTGTGTGTGCCCTTTACATTTCTTCCCAGTGATTTCTTCAAAAGACAGGAAAGTTAGATATTTAAGAGGATATGCTTTTTTGTCATATTTTAAAATCATCTCTATGTTACTAATAGCAAAATTTCTTGTATCTAACTTAAACGTAAAAAGGAGTAGTTCTCTTACCCTAATTTAAGCCGTTGTTCAAACTTCAATGTTGAAATTTCAGGTGAAGGTTCAATACTCAACAGCTCAAGTGTGTAAGTTATATCTGCATCTTTTGGAATGTCTGGTTGTCTAGAATAAATAATTTTTCACACATCAACAAGTACATAAGAAAATTGGGTACTACAATGATAGATAACTTTATTTATTTCCAAACACACACAAAAAAAAACAGAGCAGTTACCTCCCTATTGAACCATAAGCATATTTAGATGCAGTAAACAATTCACATGTTTCACCAGCCTCCATCAGTGCAACTGCTATGTCAAATGCTACAAGAAAACAATTTTTATTTATTGATGGAAAATAAAACTGTTCCTACAAACTCTGTAAAGTGTTCCTTAATACATCTTTATTGATAAAAAATTAAGTTCTATAGCATCTTACCAAGGATCACATCTCCATCATTGAGAATAAAAGAAATCTCCCCAGTATCTACATGTGTTCCATCATGTAAAAGGCCATCTACTTTCAATGTGACTCTGTCTCCATTACTAGGACGGGTATCAACACCTTTGCCTTCTGTTAGTACCTTCAATATTTTTTTAATGGAGAGTTTATTAGTCCGAATTTTCAAAAGCATTTTTTCATGCTAGAACTACATCTCTGTATTCATTATAAAGTATGTATTCATTATAAAGTAAATGAAGTAATTCTAGGACTTTACCTTTTTCTTTAACAAGCCATTTCCCAAAATATCAAGCACACCATCTCTTTCTTCATCAGCTTGTGATTCCTCATCATCTGGGGTTGCCGTTGAGCCATCTGAGCTGCTTTTACTAATAGTTTCTTCAATTTTCCGGCTGGCATTGTCAGGACTGGGTGTGTTACCTGTGCTATCAGAACAGAAACCTGTGTCTCTCGAGGTTGATGATGTCAAACCTGTCTTTTTCTTTGTCTTTTTTTCTGGCCAAATTAAGTCTGGCATGCTGTCACTACTGTTCCCTTCATCATCATCATCTATATTTAACTGCTCACTGTTTAGCTCAGGGCTTTCACAACCATTCACTCGAGAACTTAATGAAATGTCTTCACTTTCCGTTTCATCATTTGATATTTTTTCCTCAGCATCAGTGTGATTTTCAACCTGGTCAGTTTGTTCTTTTTCTGGTAGTTTAGACCCAATATCCTCCATGTTGACACACAAATTATCTGTAATAATAAATAAAATATAATTAGTTTTAAAATGGAAATTAATTTAGTCTGCATTTTTAGTAGATTTAGTAGATATTAGTAAAATGTCATGTAATCGCAAATAGGCACACAAATAGCCGATTCAAGCAGGGTGTAGACAGTAGTTTTTAAACTGTTGGACTGCTAAGACTGATCTGCTGAAGTCTTTCTAGAATTCTGTATTCCTCTACAGCAATAATTAATCATGCAGATCTTAACCTTCTTTTAGCCATAAGAGTGTTACAGCTTATGTTGAGTATAGTTGAAAACCACTAAGCATTTTATTATATCATATCGTTGGTAATCTTGAAAATAACCAATTGTAATTAATTAGAATAGAGAAGTACATAAAATGTAATTTTTTTTTTGCAACAATGCATTACTTTGAATTTTTTGTGACAAGATAATTCATTTAAATATTTTAAAGCAATTTAAAGATTGTATGTGATTTTTATTTTTATTAAAAATGTTGAAATAAAAACAATTTAACAGCATATTATGTGGGTATTATTTTTTTCTAATTTCACCACACTAACTTTAGCCTAGCCACATCTTTTCCCTGACAAAACATGGCAACTCAAAAAAAATTGTGTTTGCATATGTATTTGTATGTATTTTTTTAAAGTGTTAATCAAGCTCTTAACAATCTTTTCTGCATAGCAAAATGTGAAGAATGTTTTATAAGTTTTCTGGCATTGAAAAGGGTTCAAACAGAAAATATTACTAGTTTAATGATGTTTAACCTTATATTAAATCACATTCTTATTACTATTAGTGGATAAAAAAATAAAATCTAAAATAGGCATAATAAATAAAACAATAATAACATACAGCAACAGCTTATTATATAGCCCTTCTTAGGCCTAATATAAGCATACTAAAACTAAAAAACAATTAGATCTAGATCTACTTTTTATTCAAGTGAGAAAAGCTATTGTTAGCAAGCTCTAAAAATTAGAGTGCAGTACAACTTAATTAAACTAAAGATCTATTTTTTTTTTTTTACAGTTGTACGACCTCTGACAACCCGCCTGGAGCGCAAATGCTCGACCAAATAGTTTTATCAGATGAATAATTTAACTTTAACCCCATTGCGCAGCTATAAAAGAATAAATCAGCCCATTGTGCAATCATTAATAGTATTATCATACATTTCGAGCCGTCCCACTTTTACTCATTAAGTCTACATCGTGACAAGACACAGCGCGACCTTAATATCATACTGCCTTGATTTTACAAGGGGGAAAAGTATACCCGCATGCCACAACGTCATTCAAGGTCAATACCTCTATGAATTAATTTTCACTTGGTTTCAATGAGTACATAGACCTTCCCCCCTCTTTAGGCCTGACCTATTAAATATATTATATATATGCAACAAACCTGCCGGATGGTCAACACAACACCGGGGGGGGGGGGGGGGTTCATTCTGCTACGCAATAAAACAAAAGGACTATGCAACACTACAATATAATAATATATGTTTGTGATGGCAGGCTACCTCTGTGTTCAACACAAAAGAAATAAGTTGATCTATCGACGGTATTTCAAGCCGCAGCGGTTTCGAACAAGGTGGTATTCTAAGTCGATACAAAGATGGTGACGTTGACAAATCATCAGAATGTCTAGGGATGGAAAAATTGTAAGTTTTAATTGTGTAAACGAAACGTCTGTAAAGCCTGCATCAAATAAGACAAATATCACTGTGAATCGGTCGCGGTAAAATTTTCACGGATAGCTGCCCTCCTGCCACCATTATTAAATTCTGCCTGAAGTAGATTCTATATAGAATCTAGACTAATCTAGAGCCTAATATATTAAAATCTTAAGAGATGAAAGTTGAAAGCGAAGCTAGATCTAGATCTAATCTAGATCTAGATTCAATTAATTACCGTTGTTGTGTTGTCACTGAGCTAGATAACTAAGTTACTAACAGACTACTGACTTGCACTTGTTGTCTAGGTCTCCTACCGTGCTATTTTACTACTAAAAATTTTTTTTAACAGAAGATGTTTTCTAGGGGAGGTGATTCCAAGAACTTTCTAGACCTAGTTAAATTTTGGTTTTCTTAAAAATCGAAATCTTGCATTAAACAGAAATGAGAAACCTATTTATTATTATTATTATTATTATTATTATTATTTGTTGTTGTTGCGGGGTGGGAGGGGGAATCCGCACTCGAATAAAATACTTTGACTTTGCTCTCTATTCTCCGGTTCCGCTCTCTTACACGACAAGTTATTTAAATATGTGTTTATATTGTAGAATACTATTATGCCTATAAGTATAAGTAACAGTCATTGTAGGGGGGGTCATCCATAAATGACGTCACGCTTTTTTGACGATTTTTACCTCCCCCCCCCCCCTCCATCACACGTTGTCACAAAAAGCCAGACCCCCCCCCCCCTAAAATGACGTCACACCTCAACCTACAACCCCCCTCAAAATTGCAGTTGAATTTTTTTTAAACATCGATATTTTTTCCAAAATCTTGTCTAAACTATTACAATTTATTAAAACAGTTATTTAAAACGCGAAATAACGTCTAAAATTCGTTTTCTAACATTGCTTTTTTATAATGCAAAAATGTGACGTCGCAACATCTGAACCCCCCCCCCCTCCCCCTTATCACACATCGTCACAAAATTACGGACCCCCCTCCTCCCTACGAGTGTGACGTCATTTATGGATGACCCCTAACCAGAGGCGTAGCGAGGGGGGGGAGGGCGGGGGGGGACATATGTCCCCGGGCGCCGACCTTAGGGGGGGGGGGGCGCCAAATTGAAAGTTTGAGGGGGGGTGCAAATGAAAAGTGTTCGAGGGGGGTGCAAATCGAAAGTTTGAGGGGGAGGGTGCAAATGAAAAGTTCGAGGGGGGGGGGGTGCAAATCGAAAGTTTGAGGGGGGGTGCAAATCGAAAATTTGCTCCCGAGGGGGGCGCCAAATTGAAAGTATGTCCCCGGGCGCCGGGAAGGGTCGCTACGCCTCTGCCCCTAGCCCATATATATATTATAATCATATAATAATATAGCCACCCACATAATATTAATAATGAAGCCGTTGGTTCTGCATAATTAGTTTGTGGTAAATTATGATGCTTATACGCATAGACCAGATTTTTACAATAGGGTTTGTTGAGTGTGTGTTTTAGTAAATTATGGCTGTAAACTTATTCGGAATGATTGCTCAAGTATTTCTAAAATATATCATTTGCTGACAACAAAATTATCCAGAGGATTTAAAAAATTATACTAATCATATAAAATATATTTAGAACTTATTTAGAAAAATTTGTTTTTTTAAAGGCAACTTCTCCTGCTAGTCTCTTCTGCAGATCTCCATTCCCCCCCCCCCCCCACACACACACTTTTAACGCGGTCATTAAATGCAGAATCTCGCAATCCCATTTGTGCAGGAACGTTATTGGTTCGTCAATAAGTATGACTTCAATCTTTCAGAGGGTCGGGGTTCGTAATTTTGAGATCATATGTGATTGGGAAAGGACGGGGGGGGGGGGGGGGGGGGGGGCTCAAATAGTGTGACGTTACACATTAGTATTTTTAGAAAAGCAATGCTGAACGCATAATTTTAGCTATTGTTTCGCGTTTTAGAAAACGGTTTTTGTAAATTGTTATAGAAATCGATTAACAATCTTGATGTCGACCGGGCTCAGTCAATATTCTAGAAATAAATCGATGTTATTTTTATCGATGTCTGACTATTTGTGACGACGTGTGACTATGGAAAGGGAGGGGGGGGGGTAAATCGTCAAAAAAGTATAGGCAGGATTTTAATTAGTGGGGGATCAAAATGTGTTCACATATATATATATATATATATATATATATATATATATATATATATATATATATATATATATATAGTAAACGCAAATTATGATTTATGACCAGAGTTTCTTCCAGGCATCTCTTCGGCATCTCTCTACCGCCCCCCCCCCCCCCGAATGAAATGAAATTTATATAATTTATATAGAAAATATATACTTTTAACAGTGTCCGCCCCCCCCCCCCCCCCGAAAAAAAGTCTACCCCCCCCCCCCCTCCCGAAAATTTCAAGTCCCCCGAACGTCCTTGACTACGCCAGTGTATATAAGTATGTGTGTGGATATATTATGAAATCGGTAAAACACATAATATAATATATTCTGGGGATTAAACAACACATTTTTATAAATCTGTTTTTCAAGTGAATTTGTCATAGGCCATAACGGTGCCTTTTTTTACGCTGCCCCAGCCCAACACACAGTTAATCCGACCTATTTTACCCCCGGCTGTGAATAAGAATATATTCTTACGCTCAAGATTTCATTCTAGGACCGACAACTCCAGGCGACCGAATCGTTCAATGTCCGATAACTCTAGTTGAACCGTAGGCAATGTAGCGATACAGATCTAATCAACAAAGCGTGTACCGATTTATCTATCAGTGCCGTCTGCCACTACGCGAATACGGACTGGATACATGAAGAGTTTAAGTCGGTAGATAACGATAAGGAAAACATTTGTATTTAAGTACACACAATAACGATTTAATTCGTTTTGTTGATTTATTTTTCATACAAACGTGAAGGAATACAGACTTAATTAATTAGTGTAAGTATAATTTACAATCCCTAATTAGGTCAAACGTGTTTTGTTTTGATGGTTGGTATAAACACATGTTATATAATTGCTTAGTCGATAATGTAGCCTTCATTGTATCGTTAACGTGTGCTATGGTATTGGTATTATATTAGAAGAGGAACGATTCCTTGTTGGTCGAGGGAAAAATACACAGGTATTTTTTAACCAAACAATGTTAGATCTTGGTTATTTAGTTCTGGGTGAGCCATTAGTAAATGCTGTAAAACAGACAAGCTATAATTGGTTATTTAGTTCTGGGTGAGCCATTAGTAAATACTGTAAAACGGGCAAGCTATAAAACAGTTGTCCTGCTTATTTTACTCAAATCAATGTTGTCTGTCAAAGATCACACACAAAATGTAATTAATTCATTAAAATGTCATTAGCTTTGTTTTCACAGCACATGCCATTTGGGATTTTATTTTCATTTTTATTTTATTTTATGCAGGAATATTCTTGTTTTGTTGTTATTGAATTTTAATTCTAAATTATTCCTCCAATAACATATCTTGTTACAGTTGGTGTATGCTACCCCCTTCAAATGATTCCTTCCAAAACTTCCAGGCCAAATCTCTGCCTCGTGTTCCTGCAATCAGACCACGGCTCTCCTGATGTCAAAGAACTCTTTCACATGTCAATACGATTGATTATTTTTTTTTTCGATTGAACAAATTCGTGTCCTGCTGAATACCGCCGTGGAACAAGAATAATAAATGTAACGCATTAATGATTTAAGCCGTTCTCTGGCTTTTGATTTCGTTCAATGGCTCCGTTAGAAGCCTGTTAAGGGTATTAATGGAAATCGCGCATGTGGGCTTTTTTTTTTATTACCGTTATGCATGAAACTGCGCCAATTTCTCCGTTTGTATGATACAGCTTGACTTTTCTCCCAGACAAAAATACGTAGGGCAGAGCTGTCTAGACACTATACAATAAACAACACTTAATTGGCACACTGACATTTCGCTTGTGCTACGTTTCTGTGTCGTACTTAGGCTAACCAAGTTTGGTTTTTTGTTTGTTTGTTTTTATTTCTAGAACTACTAATTAGCATATCATTTCAATCCATAGGCCCTACTTGATTTTTTGCATAAAAAATATTTAAAACCGGTTTAGTTCTTAAAGGCTATATGGTTTAAGGTAGATAGGAATACAGCCTATGATTATTTATACATTCTGTAGCTCTATTTTCTCAAGTGCATTAGATGACTATAATAATTATGTAAAAAATATTTATTTATACATGGTTGTGTAACGGTTTTCAAGTAACAAAATATCCTACATGATCAGATTTTATTTTATAAATGTAATGCCTATTGTGTCAATATTTATCGTTCGTATTAACTCCACAGATAAAACTCTACATAGTTACTATGGAAATCATCTTTCACCTGACATACGTGTTAATAACGTGACATGACGTAACAATGTCGTCATACTGGAGATCACCTTATAAGGAAACCAACTACACTATTGATAACAAAAGCAACAAATGGACGGAAGAGTCCGCCTTCTATCGATCTCAGGTTAACAACGACAGGCCTTTCCCTAATGGACATGCGGTTTATCCTTTAGACTGGTTTGACTGGCCAGTTACAGCAGACCCAAAATTTTTAAGAAACAATCAAACACCGAACGTAAGAAGCGTCGGTGGGAAAATCAAAGGGATTCTTAAAACATCGACTGTTTCCGAAAGACTGGACTTAAGAAATGTCCCCCTCTCTGAATCCCGCATCGTTTCGGTAAGTGGAGCAACCAAAAAAAGAGTTACGTTTGGAACAACTGAAACGGACTCCGACGACGCAGATTCTTCTTCCGTTCGTTATCGTTATAGCAGCGAGAGTTATGGTACGAGTCACCAACAGAGCATGAAGGTACCCTACCCGCTCGATGAACTGGCAAAACAAAACATGAGAAAATTGATAGGCTTGACAGAGCCCGTCACACTTCCGCCTGTCAAGTGTAAAAGTGTAACGCTAAACGCCGATTCACGAAACGAACCTGGAAATATTGTTGGTGATAGTAAAAATGAAGTAGAACAACCAGGTTGTTATGAAAACGGAACTTCCGCTCAAACAGAAAATGGTACAGACATTGCAATTGATTCAGAGCTTACAGAAACCACTTCAAATTCGCCTGAAAAAACGGACATTTCAGATAAAAGTAACGCTTTGCATAAAGTATTCGACACGGAAATGTCCCCATCAAGAAATAAACAAGACAACGAGTCGTCCAAACAATGCTGGTCAGAAAAAAACAATAACCACGTTAGCTCCTGGGTTAAAACAGTTCACCTACCCCCGAAAAAACTTCCATTGCGTTTTGCCGAAGGCAAGCATCTACCCAGCTCAGGGTCTCAATACACCACTTCAACAGTCACCAGTAAAGAAGAAGAACAGTCGCAGATAGTGGAACTTACCCAGCTTCATATTAACGGGGACGGAAAAATTATAAGTCCCAACTCTACCAAACCCTCGACCAAAAACGATTTTATCCTAAGCCTTCCTGCTAGAAGCTATCTACATAAAAGTATTTACAATGCCCGCACAAGTAGACCAATGTCTACTTCCGGCAGGTTGAGTTTTCAAACCAACTACAACAACAACACCACCTACAACAACAACAATACGAGCTCTGACGCAACCACACTCTCAAACTCCGCGCCACCAAGCCTTAAAGCAGCAGAGTCACAGGAGTCTCAAGACGCGGCGTCTGCAAGAAAAACAACCGCGTCTACCAGTGGTTATTTAAACAAAGCCTCACAGATCATGACCTGGTTGAAAGACGTCCGACAGAAGGATAACTTTATACCTCGGAACGCGAGATCGTACGCTTTAGAATCTCAACAATTACACTGATCTTCATATTGCGCGTTAATCCGACATTTAATCCAAATATAATTTTATATATATTAAATGACAATGCTCCAAACACAACTGTTTCTCCCCAGGCTCGTCTCGGTATTCGGTAATGACGTTTAAAGTATAATGTTCATTAGAAAAGCAATCAATAGTACATGTGATAAAGCGAAAGCGTGTGCATTAGAATCTCAACAACTGTATTGATTTTCTCTCTAGGTGTTAATCTCACGTTTTAAAAAAAAAATCTAATTTTAAATGTAATAACGACGTATATCGTTCAAAATAAAGACAATGTTATACCCAGGAATGCAGGATCTTATGCTTCAGAATATCTTATATGTCCCCTTATGTGTTTGTCAATGTGTCAACCTACCTGACAATTCGCTGCCCATATAAATCTACATTCTTACAATGACAGACCATGTACATAATCAATACCAAGTTGAGATTTCGGCCATTAACGACTGGGTCATGAAGTGTGTCGTATAAATAACGTTTCATCGTAAATTACTTCGGTAAATAAAAATACCTCAGCTTACTACGAAATAAGATAAGTTGAGAATTTTGCTCAGCCAGAATATTGATCTGAAAAAAATTATTATAATAGTTGTTAATAAGTCATGTATTTTCAATGTTACGGTAATAATTTAATTAAGTTGATTATCAGAGCTACAGTCTAATTCGGGAATATAATGTGTAAATATAATTAATATAGGCTACTATATTTGTATAAATTATTTTAAGTAAATAAATAGTATATATAAAAACAAAAAACCTATAAGCCCTATATAGCCAATATCTATAGTATATACAATTATGTATACGTGAATATCTATAGGGCCCATGCCAACACTGAATATACTTCTAAAAGAGAAAGAGATGAGCTATATATAGATCTAACGGTTTAAAAATTCATGTCCATTTGAGTTTGTTCCATGATCCACTTATTTTGTCAGCATGTGATGTCTCTGAATCTGTATCGAGACATTTTAAACACGGTAGAAAAAGTTTTCATCGAAATGTTATCTATAGGAAAACATGTTTACCAAATGTACTTCATGCAAACCAGAAGAGTAGTTTACTGAATAAATTAAACTATACTTTAACAAACATGTTGGGTGTGTATTAGGACCTAACGTCAGTGTCACCATACAATCCACATAGCCGTAACGTATACCCGGTAAATGGTCCAACGCCTTCTCTTCTTATACTGTCTTATAGCCATGTCATGAAAATAGAAAATAGAAGATGTATACTTTAAATGTGTAGTTATGGCTTTTAATAACTTTTATTTTTATGATGTGTTGATTATATAATAAGGATAGTGCGCTTCATTGTTAACGCATTTTTTTTTAAATCCATAACAACATCTCTTTAATGGAATGAAATCGTCATCGCTTTTATTTTTAGGCACAATATGTACATTTTGAAGAGAATGAATAAATGTGTGATAAATTATTGGATTTTATCATTTCTCTATTTATATGTAGTAAGTTATCAAGTCACTTTATAAATGACTGCATAGTGCATATACACAGTGCTGAACCATATAAACTTGGCGTTTGTTGTATTAGGGGTAACCTACGTTTGTTTGACAGAGGTGACCTACGTTTGTTGTATTAGGGGTAACCTACGTTTGTTTGACAGAGGTGACCTACGTTTGTTGTATTGGGGGGGACCAACGTTTGTTGTATTACGGGTGACCTACGTTTGTTTTAGAGGTGATCTACGTTAGTTGTATTAGAGGGGAACTACGTTTGTTTGTTAGAGGTGGCCTCTGATGCGATGGGGGGGGGGGGTACATATGTCTCCTGGCGCCGACCCTAGGGGCGCCTAAATGGGTTGAAAAAAAATTAAAAGCTCATTTTAGCTGCAGTTTTGAATAATAAATATAAAAAATATGTGGGGGCGCCCAATTGAAACTTTGTCCCATAGCGCCGGAAGGGGTCGCTACGCCCCTGGGTGACCTACGTTTGTTTTTAGAGGTGACCTACGTTTGTTTTTAGAGGTGACCTTTGCTTGTTTTGGTACATTATTTTTTAAGGAGACCAACTTTTCTTTTATGGCTTTGAATACCAAAGTACTTAATGTTAAAAATTATATTTTTAAAACCAGGGGGTGGGGAGGCGAGGGATGGGGAAATCGACAACTCTTAAATTTGTCTCAGTGTCCACAGCTAGTCAAATCACATATAACTAAACATACTGACAGCATAAAGCTTGTATTCAGCCTGCCATAAAATGTTGGTTTGATTTGTGTGGCCTATTGTATTGCGCCTTACAGTTCCTGTATCACATTTTTCACGATAACTGAGTTTATTTAAGATATTTCTCCATAGGTATTTCCCCATAGACAAAAGGTTAAATATACATATATATAATTTATTGAGAAAATATATTCTTTAACCAGTACCACCACTACGAAAATTTAGATACACCCCTCCCGAAAGTTTCAAGTGCCCCTTCCCAGTAGCAATTAGGGGGTCGTCCATTAATGACGTCAAACTCGTAGGGGGGAGGGGGGGGGGTCCGTATTTTTGTGACGATGTGTGATGAGGGGGATGGGGGAGGTTAAGATGGTGCGACGTCACACTTTTGCATTATAAAAAAGCAATGTTAGAAAACAAATTTTAGACGTAATTTAGCGTTTTAGAAAACTGTTACAATAAATTGTAATAGGAACTGATCAAAATACTCTATTTTGAAAGAGTTCAGACAAGATTTTAGACAAATATCGATGTTTAAAAAAAATTCAAAAGCAATTTTGAGGGGGGTTGCAAGCTGAGGTGTGACGTCATTTTAGGGGGGTCTGGCTTTTTGTGACGACGTGTGACGGGGGGAGGGGGAGGGGGTAGTTAAAAATCGTCCAAAAAAGCGTGACGTCATTTATGGATGACCCCTAAACCCTAAAAAATATTCAGACGAATACTCAGAAAAGTACTTTAGAAGAATTCCCTTTATGATTAGTATTGTATAAGTTTATTATAAAACATAACCGTTACAATAATATAGTTCATGTTGTTCTAAAAAAAAGTGTCAATTTTAAACTAATGTAGCCTATAATGATGACAAGACATGATAAATCACAGCCGTTTTATTTGTAAAAAATAAAAATATTTTTATCACAGTCTAGGTGTCGAAATACAACATGAGATATGATAGTCACAGATACACTTTACAAACAATCAAAACTTATGCACACTCAGTAAAACAATATCTCATGAAATACCTTAAATAAACGTAGCTGTATTATAGGCTACACAAACTAATTACACTTGTTGTTTTTTTTTAATGTAGCACATTATCAATATTGAGGACAAAGGTAAAAGTGTGTCTTGAAGGAAGAGTAATGAATTAAAATGATGGCGCATATTTTTAAAGTGCTGTGTGGGCGGTATATATATATATATATATATATATATATATATATATATATATATATATATATATATATATATATATATATATATATATATATATATATATATATATATATATATATATATATATATATATATATATATATATATATATATATATATATATATATATATATATATATATATATATATATATATATACAAGTATATATAGGCCCTCTGTGACTTCCCGTCGCAATCACGAAACCTGCACTGATTAGAAGCAGCGGAAAAATTGGGAGCTTGCTCTTGTAGCCGAAACATACGATTGAAATTTACCTTTTTTTTTTTTGCTTTACAATTAAATGAGGCTTAACTTTTTAAAAAAAAACTATTTTCAGATTAAATAGTATTATTATACTAAATAGTAAACAACACGGCTAAAAGAAAGGTGTAGATCAGGGGTTCCCAACCCCGTGCCCGCGGGCGCCATGGCGCCCGCCGAACGATTCGTATGTGCCCGCCTCTCACTATTCGACAGAGACAGAATTTTTTTCATAAACATTATTGAAAGGTTGAAGGGGATGGAAATCGAACATTTGAGGGGGGGGTGCAAATCGAAAATTTGAGAACGGGGGTGCAAATCGAAAATTTGAGGGGGGGGGGGGGTGTCCCGGGGTGACGGGAAGGGTCGCTACGCCTCTGGAAGGAGTTTGTCGATTTAAAATAGGTGGTTCCCGCCACCCTACCGATATTTTAGAATGTGCTCTAGAGTTAAAAAAAAAAGGTTGGGAACCCCTGGTGTAGATGATATTCTAATAAGGAAAAGGGAGACAACAGATTAAAAAATTATGTTATGTTTGTAAGTGCTTTCCCTTGGCAAATTATTTTTAATAAGTAGCTGGTATAACTGATATCACGGGAAAAAATTGATATAAATTATCAAATGTGATTACAGCATAATTCAATACTGCGTGCTTATTTAAAGAACATGATCTAAAAAAAATCTTAACCAATTATAACTGTACTCAATCGTATTTACAATGCATACCATGTTTGTAACTACATAGGGCCAACTCTCTATGAAGCGTCTCACTATAGAGACTAGCATTTTGATTTACCCATTGTGCCATTCTTTGCCTTTAAATTTTCTTTATCTTTTAATAACGGGAACTTCAGCTATGTAATTATACCTGAAGTATTTCTAGCTTCGTAAGAATCAACTACACATCCTAAAAGGACTTGTCAGAGAACAAATGTCAGGTATTTGTCAAGTATATATCAAAACTACAATTGGTAAAAAATCTGTAAGACTTAAAGCAAACCAGCTTGTTACTTAATTAGCTAAAGTTTGGTAGAGGATTATAGTGATTAACGCTACAGTGTTAGGATTAAGCTAGGATCAATCAAGGCTCTAACAGTTTAGACTAAGAATTTTATTCGCTATGCTTATGAAATTTAGCACTATGATGAAAAACCACGCCAATGTATTTAAACTCCATGATATCTAAGCTCTTATTCGCTAAGCTTTTTAAAGCATGATTATCTATAATGAAAAAGCACTCCAATGTCTTTAAACTATGATAAAAACTCTTATTCGCTATGCTTTTAAAGCATGATGAAAAAGCTCGTCAATGTCTTTTAAATGTATGATAACTAATATCTTATTCTCTATACTTTTTGAAGCATGATGATCTACATTTAAAAGGCGCGTCAATGTCTTTGAAATCTATGACAGCTAAAATCTGACTTTCAATGATTTAAGAAGCGTTGTTCTCTAATACGAAAAAGTGCGTCCTTGTCTTTAAAATCTATGACAGCTAAGACTTGCAATGATTTAAGAAGCGTTGTTCTCTAATACGTAAAAGTGCGTCCTTGTCTTTAAAATCTATGACAGTAAAGACTTCCAATGATTTAAGAAGCATTGATCTCTAATAAGTAAAAGTGCGTCCTTGTCTTTAAAATCTATGATAGCTAAGACTTCCAATGATTTCAGAAGTATTGATCTCTAATACGTAAAAGTGCGTCCTTGTCTTTAAAATCTATGATAGCTAGTGTAGGGGAAGTAAGTCCCACTCCTCTGTCCGTTAAGGGCCTGTAGCCAGATTCGGTGATAACGAACCCTGGGGTCAAGGCTGCGGAACGGCCTGTCGTACTTGTAGTCTAAATCTTCCTCCAGGCCCGTATCCTCCTCCACCAGCCCTCTGTGGAGGGCGTGGCGGTACACGTGACCCCCGGAGGAGGGAGGAGACAGACGAGACAGTCTGTGACCCGTGTAGACCGGAAGTGCCAGCCGTTGCCGTGCCGCCATCAGGATGCTCTGGGCTGCCTTCACTGGGTCGCTGGCGTGATCGTCTGAGGAGGTTTCGTCCTCCAGACGCAACGGTTCCAGTGGTGATCGCCCTCGGTGACTGTCAGAGGTCTCGGTAAAACCTGCAATACACACACACAACTCGTGGAGCTCTTTATTGTTCTCTTAGTCATGTAAGGTGGATTAAAAATGACATTAAGGTCCAGAGAACAGATGGAGAGAGGTCATGTTTCTTTGTACCAAACGTAAAGGCAGTGCATGGCCAGCACTATGACCAGCGTGGTTAATAGTAGGAATTTCAGATCTAGGTATTGTCACCACTATGCCCAGATTTTACTTTCCCCGACTTGAGTCAAGACTCAAATATCAAACATTTCGCTCAAGACATTTTTATTGGTTATTCATTTCCCACTTTCGATAAAGCCCTATTTACGTGAAAAGGGAAAGACCACCGATTTGTATTCACACAAACTAACAATAAGTAAAGCAAATTTTCTGTAGCAAACGGTTTAGCTGCCTCTACCTGTCATATACTACACTACATAGGGAAAATACTACATTCGGTAAACTTCTGTTATAAAACACCCAAAATATTGACATGGGAGGACCGAGAAGCAAGCAAAGAAAATAAACTGAACATAGGACAAGTTGGGGAGAACGCTAGACATCTAACCCGAGAGTCTCGAGTTCAAATCCAGACTCACGTTTGGAAAGCAAAGGCGGCTGCACATAGTGCAGACTACAGTACCCCTTGTATGTCGAGACCATTAAAACAGATGAACTATACGAGCAGGCGAGAAGAGTTGGAAAGAAATGGGTAAAAATAGCTAACTAAGAACATAAAAACCTGGAAGGAAGTTGTAGATGGTATATAAAGGTTTATATGCTGCACTGTGAGCGGAAGAAGTACCTGAATCCAAGTTCCGCGAAGAGAAACTGGTGAAGTGTTTGGGCTGGACCATCACAGGTGGATGAATCTCGATGCCTGTTCGCCCACTTCCGGCTAAATCTCCATTATATTTCTGGAACTCATCTCCCTGCGTGTTGTACTTGACGGAAGCAAGCTCAGAGCGCAGACGTGAACAGAGCTTAATGGCGCTTCTCGCCACGACAGCTGCTGGGGTAACTTCATTGTCCAACGCTTTCTGAAGGCTGGTCTCATTTAACAGTTCAAAGTTCACAAGAGCCGTTAGCTCGTCCTTCTGCTCTTTGGTTAATTTATCTTTTTCTGTTAAAAAAAAATTTTTAAACCATTTACACATTCTAAAAATGTTTATGCATTATTTAAAATGTAAATATTGATGTCATCGGTTAAAATAGCCAAACCTGATTTCAAAACGAACTCCAAAACCTCATACAAGGAATCATGGGAAGTCCTGGTTGATTTGTTGGTTGCAGAGGCCAAAAGACGAAACGTTTCTGCAGTCAAAATACCCTAGATAAAATATTTAACATAATTGAGAAGTGATACATATTTGAAAATAAACTCTTGATAATTTTAATGCATAATTTGTATATTTCTTAGAAACGTGGGTTATTGAGGATGTCACGAAAACATTTTTGTTACTTTTTAAACACATTTTAATTCCACCGTATCAGCACTTTCCAGCCGTCTTTACTTTCCCCAACTTTAATAGGGTACAGAACTGAGCTGGGTGGACTCAGATATACAATGCACATTCAAACTCGAAAATCCAACTTGAGATTATCGGGTTAGCAATTGAGTGCCACGCCGCTCAATCATGACAAACCCAATACCAATCTCTTATGTAATTTAATGGGTGCGAATTATTATTATTATTATTGAAGTGGTTCAAATAGAACTATATACCTGTATCGCCATCTTCTCTAGGTAGATATCAACGGGTGCCGTATACTAGTACTGTATACTAGAAATAGTACTGTGTTGTTTTGTGCGTGTAGCTACACATTCACTGAACTGGTCAAGAGAGAACTAGATACCTTTGTCGCCATCAGCTCCATGTAGGTATCAACGGGTGTGTGTGCCGTATACCAGTATTTCCGTGTTATTTTGTGCGTGTAGCTACACATTCACTGAACTAGTTTTTAAGAAAGAACTAAATACCTTTGTCGCCATCTGCTCCATGTAGGTATCAACGAGTCGGCTCGCCCGTTCAGCCTGGGGACTTTTAGCACCCGGCTCGGTGCTGGTGCTGACTAGGACATCGTGTAGGACCGACGGGGACACGGTGCTCAAGTCCTCCGCCTCCAGTCTGCTCATCAGGTCGGCCGCTACTCGCACGAGTACATCCTTGCACGCGCATTTATGCACCGTAGCCACCCGTAAGACCTGGGGTAGCAGATATGATACAAGGTGCATACAAACAAGCTATAGTTATCAATATCATTCACAGCTACGTCGGACTTTTTTTTAAATTAATTTCCCTACCTAAATTTTTTACTATGAGTAAAGGGAAACAATTTTAATTAGAAATGTTTTTATTTTATATTTAATGTTTTTAATTAGGAGCGTTACTAATATTTCATCTTTCATACTGCATAATTATCAGACCACGTGTGAAAAAACATACGGATAAACATGTGTGTGTGCGTACGTGCGTGTGTGTGCGTACGTGTTTGTGTATGTATGTATGTGTGTATATATGTGTCTGTGTGTAAAGCTGTGGGCAGATCTAGGGGCATGGAGTTTAACCCCTCCCCTAGTCCTACTTATTTATATAAATCTACCTAGCCCGCTCTTTCCCCCTCCCCCGCCACCCTTTCACATAAACAAAGGCAAATGAAAGTCTAGATCCACTAATGCCATGGGATTAACAAACAAAAAAAAACAATTTTAAAAAACCTGACGTCAGCATAAAACTAAACAGCTATTACTGTACAAGACTGGTCGGGTAAAAAGGGAAAGACCACACCGTCATTGAGCCTATCTCTTGAGGTGTGTAATGTAAGACCTACAACCACGGCTCTCTTCAAGTTGTTTTAATGCGGCCTGACCAAATGGCTGACAGGTTAAAAAATAACCTGTAGATTTTTTTCCTATTCACTGGGTGACATACACTACTATGCTGTTAGATATACGATACGCCATTCATGCCAGTGGGTGGAGAATAGCTGGAACTAGGTTGTTTTTTTTTAAATTTTACTGTTAAGGGATTGGGGGAGGGGGGGGGGGGTTCAAACAGTAATATGCAGAAACATTCTAAATTTAAATATTTTCCGACTTCATATATAATATTAAAAGATATGTGCTACATGTTTATAAACGCCATGATCTGGTTTAGATGGACTATGAGTAAACAGCTACACTTAGATCTAGTGCAATGGCATAGCGAGGTCGGGTGTCACCCGGTGCGGCACTTAATGGTGTGCCCCCCCCCCAGAGGCGTAGCGACCCTTCCCGGCGCCCGGGGACAAACTTTCAATTTCCATTTGCACCCCCCTCAAACTTTCGATTTGCGCACCCCCCCCCTCAAACTTTCGATTTGCAACCCCCCCCCCCCCCTCCACCCTTGTCGGGATTTGTCAAATTTCCTTTAAAAAGACTTTTTAACACTCGAATTCATCACTTCATTAAGTGGAATTATCATTTTTCTCTATAAATTTTGCTAATTTTTGCCTTGGTGTTAACCCCCCCCCCCCCCCACTAAATGGTGTCACCAGGTGAGGTCCGCACCCCCCTCCACCCCCCTCGCTACGCCACTGATCTAGTGTAATCAAGAGTTATTTACCTTGGTCAGCCAATCGATAGTTACTAAAGGTACTGTAAAGGCCTGCTCGGGAAGAACTAAGACAACAGCGTCAAGTATTTCGCCGACCTTGCATTTTTTGTTGTATTCGCTTAAGCCCTGCCATAACTTTTCTTCCTCGTCCATTTCCTTTTTCTTCGAGATTTTCTTCGTTGTCTTTTTCCCGTCCGTCCCCGCTTTACTTGTCTCTGCGTCTTTATCTTCTTTTTCTCCTTTTGTGGAGTTTTGATTTGCCTCTTCCGTCTCTTTCTGCGCATCCATCAACAAAATAGCCGATATAAAGTGTACTGTTATTGTACCTAGCTCGCTCCAACTTACACCTTGGGCGCGTGCTTTAGACAAGATGGCGGCGAACCAATCGTACCTCAATGCAATCAAGTGCTTAACGCTAACCTCGTCTAGTTTGTCCGAGTTGTGTAGAAGACCACTGTCCTGAACTCGTTTGAAAGCTGATTTGACCTCATTACTGCTGGATACTTTGGTAAACGCGGCGCCCTTGCCGATTGAAACGTGTGACGTGGCTTTGGCCCAACATTCCGCGAAAGCGTCGACGCAGTTGTCAACTAAACCCGTCGTCTTGGCTAATTCCCCGGCGTTGTTGCAGTGGGCTAATAACGTCAGCACCGTCATCGTTGACCGATTTAGCCGAGCCGACGTGAGTGCATCTTTCAAATATTTATCCGCGACCTCTGACAAATTCCCGCCGCCGAGCATCTTCAGGTACTCCGCCGCGCAGCGCACTTCAACCGCGTTGGTGGTCGTGACCTTGACCGGCATGTTGTAGCAGAAATCTGCCACCAGTTTAAAGATGGCGTTGCCGCCCGGAAAATCTTTCAGGTCAATCTTGGGCGGGTCGTTTGATCCCGTCTTTGAGCGCGCTAGCTCGCAGAAGTAGTCGGACCTGGCGAAGAGCGGGAACCTGTGGAGCTTGTGCTCCTGGCTGTCCACCAGGACGATGATGTCACTGAGGTCCCCGCTTTGGCGAAATTTTGAGAACTCCATGGTATCTGTTGAGAAACGGCACTCGATTTTAACAGCAGTTTAGTGCTTACAATATAAAACTGTATATAAAATATGGTGCATGTATTACTTTTCATTCTTATTTCAAACTTTTAAAAGCTGGGGGTTGTTCTGAGCGACATTTTTCATTGAAGCACAACCCGAAGTCCTCAATGTGAGCCGAAATGTTTAGCTATGTTCTAGCCCAGGGGTCTCCAAACTTTTCAGTCCGAGGGCCGCATTAATTATCAAATTTCAGTTCGGGGGTCAGTTTCTTCCAGGCATGTCTTTGATTTTTCTGGGCAAAGTTCCTCAGCCATCACCAACAAACGTTTTTTTCCGTAAACAAAAAGATCTCCGCGGGCCGGACGAGAGGGCCTCGAGGGCCGCATCCGGCCCGCGGGCCGTAGTTTGGAGACCCCTGTTCTAGCCTCTTCAACCAGTTGTTGCCCTTTCATCAGTTTCTGTCTACCTCGGCATATGAAGGGATAGTGCGGTCAGCACTATAACCGGTCGCTTTTATTTCCTAAACATTAGTCAGGTACCCATCACAGCTGGGTGGACTCAGAGACTCGAACCCAATCTCTTCAAAGGCTCCATATAATAACTATAAACATTACGAATACACCCTTTTGAATATAAGTAAGTATATGTATCAAACGTAATAAAAGAATTTAATTCCAGGCAGAGTGTGAAAAATACGAAACCTATTTGGACCTACATGCTTTGAATAAGTTGGCATTACAAGGGAAAAAATATTGTTTTTTATTTAAAAAAAAAAAGGATACATACATATTTTTTTTTGTTAAACTACCATTTAATTCTTTAATTCTTCTAATCAGACCTACGCTGTTTATTTTGGTGTGTTCATAACACACGCAAAGAAAAATCGATATTTTTTTCCACAAAAGAATAATCAAACTTTAACACACCAAGAAACAACGTTCTCTTCTGAATGTTTTTACTCCTCTTTGTTCTTGCCAATATCAACAAGGCTTTTGCTATGACAACACTAAACAACTGAATAAATCTACACTCTAACACAAGTCACTAACTCGGCGATACAACAACTTTGGAATTAAATCCCACTTTAACAGCTAACGAAAGAAATAAAAATCGAATGGCTGCTTAACTACAGTTTTAGTTCACAACTAATAACGTTGATTAATCTTAATTAAATATAGTCGTTAAGGAATTAAAATCTTACCTCGAAGTTTGACAACACAATAAAATTTTAGTTCCAGACAAAGCAACGTCCAGTTATTGTTTTGATTTTTAAAATCTATTTAGGCAGAACGTAACCTTTTACCCTGGAGTTTTAATTCCTACTCAGCCTGTCCAAGCAGGAATATACATGGCGGTTCGATCGATCGATTTACCTTTGGGTCCCTTGTACAGATTGATCAACGACAACGTTAAATACTGTCGGCGTTAGTGTATCGATAACTAGCACAGTATCGACGATTTATATTGATTTCACAACCCCCCCCCCTGCCCCGTAACTACTTGCCTAGACTGAGGTACTGCTGCAAAAGTACTGCCTCCATTTTAACCTCTCTCAATTTAGATATCACTTAGCCCACATCTAAACATTAGTTAAATGAGGCTAAATGGAAACATTGTAAAAGATTTGGTTACAAATGTTAATGTTTAAAATGAGACACGAAGTGCATTCAAAAATAATTTCATTGTTCTATTAAAATAACTTTTTTTTAATTACCTTTAGACATATTGGCGACCTTCTTGGATAAGTGTTATTCAGGGGCGTAGCGAGGGGGGGGGGCGGGGGTGCGGACCGCACCGGGTGACACCATTTAGGGGGGTGACACCAAGGCAAAAAATAGCAAAATATATAGAGAAAAACTTGAGGGGGGGGGGGGTGCAAATCGAAAGTTTGGGGGGGGGGGGTGCAAATCGAAAACTTGAAAGTTTGTCCCCGGGAACGGTCGCTACGCCTCTGGGGGGTGACACCATTAAGTGCCGCACCGGGTGACACCCGACCTCGCTACACCACTGGTGTTATTACTTAGAAAATATTTATTAAGATGATTAATTTTAATTAATTAATTTTGGGGTCTTCCACATATGACAAGGTGGTAGGGGCAGGGGTGGACTGTACACCAGGGAAAGTCCCCGTGAGTCGCCAGGAAAAAAATTCGAATAGGCCGCCAGGATCAGTGGCGTAAATGGCCTATAATTGTTTTTGATTTTTTTTTTAACTGACTTTGTTTAACATTTCTGATTTGTCGTTTTGTTATGAATTGTATATTGCAATTTGTAAAGTAACCCGTGACTTTGTAGGCAATGGTCCTCATGCTTGGATGAAATAAATGCCCTGGGGTACTGCTTGATTCAACGGTCAAACTACACTACATGCATCTACCGGCGCGACCACAAAAAAGGGGGAGAGGTGCTTTGTTATAGAAACATGAGTAGCGTAAAGTTGAGTAAAAGTAATATAATGACGTCACGTTGATTACCCGATTTTACACGAACCCATATAATCGTTGATAGCTAGACAGCCACAAATGACATCTTCAATTTTTTTTTAAATTATGACTACCTGTAATCTCTGACTCTTTCTGGAAAATAGTAGGTAAAAAACCCTTAAAATCTATGCGCGATCACTCTTTCAATAAAGTGAAATTTTAGTTTAGTCTTAGCACATTCACACGGTAAACTTACGGATATCTTGGAAAAGTTTAACTCTAAATTATTATTTATGCCTAGTAATGATGTAAATGAATTAGTAATTTTGCAGCATGTTTTGAGAGGTCTACTAAATGTGTGTGTACGTCATACATGGATGACCCCTTAGGAGTTCATCATAAACGATAACACTCGTTTTAAACAAATTTGTACATTTCTCAATGTACCGATTGGGGGCGGTACATACTGGAGTTTTGAATTATAAACATTAAAAAATATATGGATGGGGGGGGGGGGGTGGCGCCTAATTGAAAGTTTGTCCCCGGGCGCCGGGAGGGGTCGCTACGCCTCTGCTTTTCTCTACCTATCGTCACACTAAACCAGAAAATAAGAATGAAGAAAATCAAAAGGAGCTTTAAATTATTATAACATTACTCCTATATTTACATTGACCCCATACAACCAGTGGCATCGCAAGGTCGGATGTAACCCGGTGCGGCACTTCGTGGTGTCACCCCCCCCCCCCAAAGAAACAAAGTGTATATATATATATATATATATATATATATATATATATATATATATATATATATATATATGTGTGTGTGTGTGTGTGTGTGTTTGTGTGTGTTAGAATGTGTATGTGTCGACCAACATAGGCCTATAATTTAAATGTATGCTATATACGCGTACATGTATGTGTATAACCTTTAATCACTGAAGACTTAATAGTAACGATGTTTATCTAAAGTCTGTTAATAATACACCTGAATGTAGCATTGTTTTCTCTATAGTTAGCACGTTTACGTCAATGTGTCCCCCCCCCCCCCCACCCCCTTGGTAATAGTTGTCAATTTGTACTTAAAAAACTATTTAACTTAAATTAAACTTTAATGGAACTGGCAAAAAAGCATTTTTCTTCTGTACATTTTGCAAATTTTTGACATGGTGTCACCCCCTAAATGGTGTCACCCGCACCCCCGCCTCGCCCTCGCTACGCCTCTGCTTACAACACTGACAAAATGGTAACCATCCACTATCCCCTTTGAGTTCAATCTAGTTGACCATGCTCAATAATAGGTTAACATATCAGTAGGTCTTTCGGAATTTAAAATAGAAGATGGACTAAGGCCCAGTCTTAGGTCTTAGCATAGGCCTAGTTTGAGAACTTTTAAAGCGCATTGTTCGTTTCCGGTGAATGACGGGAAAATTATTATTATCCAATCAAAAATACCTTCTCATGCGCCTTGTTCAAAATACGATTTTTGTCAACATGAGAGTTTTGTGATTCTTATTGCCTGTTCTATTGTTTTAATTGTTTTAAAGCTTGAAAATGGATGGTCAAGGGTAAGTAGATATTCAAAGACTTGTTTAGCGACTAGAAATGGAAACTATTGCTGTTTTTACTGTAGCATAACAGATCTAAACTAGAGAATCTCTAGGTCTAGTCTAGTTTAAGTTAGTAGACCTCTCCTCTACTCTAGTGACCTAGTCTGGAAATATTACTGTAGCTTAGCGAGCGGCGTAGCGTAGACTTCAGATCTAGAGTAGAATATAATAGTTTCAATATAGATTCTAGACTAGAATCTCTCTAGATATCTAGGTCAGTAGTAGATCTAGAAATCTAGTTAAATCTATGTCTAGTAGTAGCTCTACTCTAGTGAACTCTACACTCAAGTTTCAGCAGTCTGGCAAATGATTTTTAAAAATGTATTAAAAGTAATAAAAGTTTTTTAAAAGTCTTCTTTTAAGTTCTTAACTTCTTAGTTTTTGTATTTGTAATTTGAAGAGCTAGATACTAGATCTAGACTAAGAATCATGCTAGATCTAGAGAATACTAGAGATCTATTTTAAAAAAATACTGGAGTCTGGAGTCTTAACTCTAAGCCCTAAGCCGGCCTAAGCCTGCCTTAAGTTTTTGAAGTGACTAGCCTACTCAGAAAAGATTTTTCCCCCAGCGTCTCCATTTGGTCGGCAAAAGATAGTTCTGCGCATGCGCAGTGAACTTAATAGCTGAGGTAGGGATAGGCCGCGGATAGGGTTAGAGTTCTCCGCTTTGTTTGTAAACACCTGCATGCGCAGTACCATCAAAAACATCGCTGCGAAGGAAAGTCGTAGTTTCTCTCCATTGCGCATGCATATCTTTTTCCGGCTAGAATCTACCTAAAGTTTTATACAAAATAATAAATGAAATCACCTTTTTTTCCTTCATTAGCAAGGGTTAGGCCCCTGACTTTTTTATTATTTAATTCACTAAATATTTATCTTTAGACTTGATTTTTAAAATGATTTTTGTGCTAGAATTCTTGTAGTTTTGACCTATATTCTAAAAATTTAATATTTTATATTAAGCCTACTGACTATGAGTCACTTATGATAATTTTTACTTTTAGGCTCCTTAGTCCTTCAAAAGAACAAATGCGGTATGCTTTCAACAAAGTCACTGATGCCACTGTACAGTCATTATACCACATATGGGATAAGATGGGTATTGATGAGTCACAGAAAAAAGCTCGTGGTGAAACAGCTGTGGCCCATGTTAAAAACTTAACACAAGATATGGTTAAAGAAGAGGAGCTTCTAATGAATAAATTGGAAAAAACTATTGAAGACTTTGTAGAGAAGTTAAGCCAGCTATGTGAAGAGCTTTCTCTTCCACAAGTAAAAGTAAGTGTTCTGTTTTACTATTTGTTAAAACTTTGAAGTTAAAGAAACAGTTAATTTACTTATACTTTGTACTTATGTATAAAATGTACATTAGTTGTAAATGTTAATGTATAAATTATTTCTGTAGTTGCCTGGCAACATGACTATGGTGCAGAAAGAAAAAATTTTAAGAGGAAAAGTGGAGACAATGACAAAAGAAAAAAATGACAGGTTGTCAAAATACAAGGAACTCCATTCAAGAGATCAGTACTTGTGTGATGTGATGTGTACTACGCCCTATTACATTCCTTCGGGGACTGTACCTAGTCTAGAGCAGCTTAGAGAGATGGAGAAACATGTAAACAATTTAAATGCTGAGAAGGTAGATTTTAAAATTTTGTATTTTAGGATTAGAATTTATTTTTAAATACTTTCGGGTCAATGGCATCTTTTAGTTAAGTCAAATGCTGAGAAAATAGTTCTTAAAATTTTGTTTCTTAGTTGCAAAATCAAGAATTTCTTCAGGTTGACTGTTAATCAAATGCACCCTTTCTTCTTTTTTAAAGGAAAAGAGATACACAGAATTTGTTTCACTAAAAGCAAAAGTTGTGGAATTGTATCATGTGATGGAAAGTGATCCAGACACCTCATTTGGTCGTGATTTAATTTGTGAAGATGATGATAGCTTTTTGTTATCTATTAAAAATATGGAAAGTTTGAAGCAATTGCATGATGAGGTAAAAACATTTTCTATTAACAACAGAATCTCGGGTGCTTTCGTTTATTTTGTTGCAATTTTATTTCTTTTGTAATAGTTTTAACTGTCATAGATTCCTATTTCTAATAGCTTGTTAAGAAAGACAGTGAAATGAAACGTGAAACGTCCGACCTGTGGGATCGTCTTAAAGCACTGTGGAACCGCTTAGAAACACCAGACATAGATCGAGAAGCATTTGAACTGAACAATGAAGGGCATGGAAAGAGAACTATTTCCTCTCTCAAAGATCAAATTGAAGCTTGTGAACTCCTAAAATTTCAAAATATGCAAAGATTTGTCGATGGAATAAGAAATGAATTGGTTACATGGTGGGAAAAGTGTTATTTCAGCAAGGAGCAACAAGATAAATTCACAGCTTTTAAAGAAAGTGAGTTGCTTTGAACATATTTTAATATGTATTTTTGTTGTCAGTAAAAGAAAAAAATGTGTTAAATCTAAATTTGACTTTTTTAATATTTCAGAGGAATGTTCAGAAGAGATACTACAAGCTCACGAACAAGAGCTTGAAAAGCTGAGGGGTTATTACAATACACACAGAGACATTCTTGAAAAGATTGCACAAAGAGATGTGTTGTTTAAAAATATGGTTGCTTTTGAGGTGAGATACCTCTGTTTCCTTGCTAACTTGTATATTTTTGTAGTATCTATAAAATAAATAATTTCTTCCTTCTTGCAATTTAACATGCATGACCTTTAGTCTTGTTTTTTGGTGTGTACAACAGACACTATAAGTATATATTTTCCAGCAGGCTGGTACAAAAAAATAATATGGGTTATAAATCATTGTTGCTTTCTTTTATGTAGGAAAAAGCCAGTGATCCAAATAGATTTTTCAATGACAGAGGTGGAAAATTGCTGCAGGAAGAAAAAGCTAGAAAAAAGCTTATGAAAGATTTACCAAAGGTTGCTTTTAATTACAATTTTTATTAATTATATTGTAGCTGGATGTTGTAATACTAGTTTATTTGTGTCCAGTTTTAACTTAGTGGCAGAACTAGCATGTGGTAGTTTGATAGCTGAGTCTGCATTATGTTTATAGGTTACATGCTTAGTGCTAATGTATTTTTATTTAACCAGTCTTCTGTACTACATTTTCAGGTGGAAGATGATGTGGCTGAGGCTATTACAAAATGGGAAACTGAAAACAACAAAGAATTTCTTGTCAATGGTGAAAGATTTCCACAGTATGTTAAATCTCAATGGGAAAATTTTCATCTCCAGAAGGAACAACAAAAGCAATCGAGGGTATGTTGCTGATGTTAATTTACCTAAGTTATAAAATCTTATTTTTTGCTCCGATCTTTGCAGCCACGGATTTCTGATTCCATTCCCATATGCTCAGTCGTGTATATTTCCACTTGCAGATTCCATTCAGCTAAGCCTAGGAGCATACATTTTCTTCACACAATGATACTAAATATAAACAAAGTGTTTTTGATAATTTAACTTGGCCATGGGTGGAATGTTCCACTGCTCATTTAGGTCTAGGTGAAGCGACTAAATGTGAGTAATAGGCACTGGTCTAGCGTAAAGTCTAATATATAAGGGTTGAAATTTCGGTTTAGAAAATTGATATTAGTCTGTATTGTGTGTTTGTACACCTTTGCATTTTTGTTTGGTTTTCATTGTGCTTAGGGTTGAGTTAGGTTTAGAGTTATGCACGATTTTCTCAAACATGCAGCTTTGGAAAGTAATCTATTTCTTAAACCTGGGTATATGCTGCTTAAACACATAATTAACATTTCTTTACAGATAGGTTTTTCACAGAGGCAAGTGCAGGGCCATGACAGCTAGTATAAATATTTTTAGTAACAGTGTTGTTGCCAATCATCTCTTGATAAATGTTTTCTTTTAACTATTGGCTATAGCTTTATATTTCTGTATGAAGCTTGACTCTCACTTTTAAATTTTCTTGTCTTTCAAAAGACATCTAAATTTTTACAAATTTTGATTGGTAATGGCACTGTCTGCTTTATTTATATACTATAGAAACATTATACTTAATAAGCCATTAAATTTTTAAGAAACTTGTTCCACAGCTCAAAGCAAGAGCAAAACAAACACAGGACGAAATTCTGTATGGAAGCAAATCTGTCACACAAACTCCCAGTAAGCGAAGGGCTCCACCAGCTACAAACACACCCATGCGCACACCTCTTAAAGCTAGAAAAGTATGTTTTTATTGCGCTACTGTTATTGTTAATATTCATACATAACACATTTTTTGTCCTCATAGATAACGATGGTATATGTGCATTTAATTTTTGTTGTATGTAAAATTGTACAGTTACATTGTTACTCATGTCTTTTGTGCTCTGGTCTTGTGGAAACCCTAGGTTGAAGCAAGTCCCTCTGTATCTGTGAAGGTTAAAGTTCAGTATGGCAGGGTGAAATTCTTTTAAATTGTTTCTTGTTTTTGTTCATTTCTAACCTCAAGTAACATGTTTTTGTCATTAAAGGTATTAACAGAGTTGAAAAAGTTTGATTTTAATTGCTACTAACACTTAATAAATTTCTTATTCACACAAACAGCTGAATGAAATACCAAAGACACCTAACACTACTAGCAAGTTACCAAACAGCAGTAGGTTTCAACACAGCACTGTTATACATTCACCATTTGGTCGTCGACCTCTTTATACCCCTAAGGTTGGCAATTATTTTATAAAACGTTTATAGCCAAAATGAAGCCAAATGAGTGTTGTTTAATTCTAATTTTTACTAACCTTGTTTCTGCATCTTTTAATGTGCCTTATATGTGTAAACTTTTCTTACTCAGTTTATTTCAGAAAAGTAACTGGAATGGGGGTTACCTTTTAAAATAAAGACTGAAAAGAGTAAAGGGGGGTGTATTTTAATTACAAATCCATAGATAAGTTAATAATTATACAGACACCTAATAATAAATAAGAATTGTGGAACTGATAGAGAGATGTGCATTATTCTCTTAGACACCCCTAAATAGTTCTACCAAAAAAAGGAGGTCTGCACGATTAATGAGAAAAGCAGACACTGAACGTAAGGCAAGCACCAGCCGTCGCAAGTCTCGAGATGTTTTCTCACACACGACGGTAAGCAGCGATGATCATGGCATCTCTACCTTGGCTTCCCATGGATCCTACCACGACTTTGCTGTACGCTTCTTTTATTTCTGAATTTATTTATTGCCATTCCCAAGCAGCTTTATTTCTTTAAAATAATATAACATAACTGAGATTTTTAATTTCTAAGCAATTTTTTTCATCTAAGACTAAAACAAATAAAGCTGCTTGGCTGGTTATGTTTAACGTTAACCATTAGTGTATTAATTATTTTGCACCGGGCTTATTTGGTTTCTTGGAATATTTGGTGTGAGTAGTTTTTAACTAGCTAGTAATTTTAGCACAACTGCATTTAAATTGGCACCTAAATACCGCAGCTATGCTTTTTACTTTTTTTAACTTAATGAGAAATACTTGTATATTTAAATTCAGTCTCAAGAGACCACCTAGACCCAGGTGTTGTGCTGTGTTGTGTTTACTGTTAACTCAATTTAATATTTCAAGTTAACTTTTGTTGTTATTTTTTTTAAATAGAAGTAGTTGCTTTCCTTTTATTCTATTTTGAAATGCTAAGTAATTTTCGTTAAAAGACAGGATAGGAAAACTTGCCTAGTAGATTTTTATGTTTTATAATATATTTTTTTAAATGTTATCTTTTTATTAGAATTTTGTGAGCGCTTCCAAAGCATCCTCGCCAAGTGCAGAACATTTCTGAGCACCTTTAGGGACTAGTTTTCAGGTGAGCATGCTAACTTAGCATGCTTTACCTAGCTTGCTAATTGTTCTGTAATATTTTTTTTTTTGTAAACGAATTTTTAAAAGTAAATGAATGTCAATAGTTTTTAAAATATTATATTTATTCGCCTTTACAATTAAGAAGTACAAAGTTTTGGTATGGCATTTCATAAGACATGTAAAATTGACAGTTTTATTCTCTAAGACTGTACATCATTCTCCTTGGTGAATTTCATTTCTATATCATTGCTCTGTTAGTATAAATTTACTATAGTAGGTATGCGATGTTTTTTCATTAGATTATGAGAAACAATGATTTGCTTCTAAAGTATTTTTATTATCAAAAATAATTAAATGTTTAATAATGGAAAAGTAATGTTTTGTATAATGCATTTTGAGTTGAAACAAAGGTAGTCCTATATTAATTTTACATGTTTAAGTTTATCACATTAAAAACTTTTTTTTTTTAATGCATTTGTTCATCATATAATCTTAAATATTTACACTTTTTTTTTCAGATTGGATTGTCTCGACCTAATTGTCGCAGCAGTGTTGTGCCTTCAGCTGGTTTGATTTCCACTTACAAAAACTAATGTGCAACTTAGGATCTTAATTTCATTTGGATGTAAGAGTCGTGTGTAAAAGAGCTTAGACTTAACTGTGATTTGATTGAATAGTTGTGATTGTTAAGATTTGTTAACTATTAATTAAACTGCAGCTTCTAAAAAAAAACTTGGAATAAACTGTCTATTTCATTGGTAGTAAGCATGTACAATTCTCTTTTATTTTATCTGAGTCTTCTGGTGTATGTATTTTAACTGTTTAAATTATTTATGCCTTTGTATCAATTTATTTTATTATTAATTATATCTCTGCTCTTATTAAATTTGTTACAATGAAGTTATTTTTGCTAAAAAAATATATTTTCAAATTATTTCAAGGACTAAAATACATTTTTCATCTCTGTAATGTTTTTGTACAGAGCATAATATTAAACTGTAAATATTCATCTATATTTTATAGATACCCATAAAGTCATGATTATAATCATATATAAAGAAAAGTAGTAATAGTTTGTGCCTTAATAGGTTTATGCATTTATTAAAGTAGTCCCATTTTATTTTCCTGTGCCTTACCTCAGTACATTAGCAACATTTTTAGACTGGTATTTTACAACATAGTGTAGAGAACCTTTATGATCTTATATATTATTTAGAAAAACATCCCAGATCGATTTCAATGAAGGGTTGAATGCATCATGTACCTTGCAGTTTGAATGCTATATTTTATTGTTCAGTTTTCAATTAAAAATACACTCTGAGTGCTGCATGCAAACATGGAGTAGCTGTCTTTTTAAAATGTGTTTAAAAAGTTGGTCTAAGGCACCTAATTAATCTTCAGAATATCAGTAGTCGGTGTCACTTATATTACTTGCAGACTTACCTAGATCTGATCTACATACCTATGTATAAATACTGTAGAAATGTTTTTTATGCTGTTGGTTTTTTTTTTAATCTTATTGCTATTACAGTATGATCTTTTTTTTTTAAATTTATATTAAGTACGGTTTTATCCTAGAATTAGACATTGTGTAGCTATAAACCACCTGAGTTGTTTTTTTTTTTGTATATATTTTATTAATCAACCATTTGTACAAATGTTTATACCAAAACATTAAGCATTCATTCATGCTCAGTAACAGCTAACTTTCAACATTCAAACATACATGCAATTAACTATTAATACAATAAAGTTTTGGTGTGTTTTTCGACTCTTATGTTTTTAAGCCTGGTGCAAGTTATATGAGTGAATGTCTTGTAATTTGAAAATGAATTTTGGTACCTACTAAAAGTTACTTCACAGGTATAGGGTTAGTTGTGTATTCCAAACCAAATATAATCAAATGTTTTCAAAAATATTTGACAAGTTAAATTGGAGGATGGATGCACATCCACATTGTATTAGTAATGCTACCACAAACCTTTCACTTTTGAAAATAGCTCACACTTTTTAAATAAGTTAAGAGTCAAGGTCTATGGCAGTTCTTGTTAGGATGTGCCACTTCACACAAAAAATTGAAATACAGTAAAGTATGGGGTTGAATGTAGCTTTATTGACAAAGACTGCTTGGGTTTAAAATTACGAAGTGTCTACTCGGAATAAGATTTTTCGGCAAAAGATAGTTCTGCGCATGCGCAGTGACCTAGGGTTAGGGCTAGAATGAGGGATAGGGATAGGATTAGGGATAGGGTTAAGGATAGGATTAGGGTTGGTATTAGGGTTCTGCGGTTGTAAACACACGCATGCGCAGTACAATCGAAAACATCGCCGCTAAGTCGTAGTTTCTCTCCATTGCGCATGCGTATCGCATGCGTGTCTTATTCCGACTAGAATCGGCCTTAAAATTACCAGTACTAAGTTTTAGTGGAAGAATCATCTTCAGAGTTTCTTCCAGGCATCTCTTCGGGGGGGCAAAGCCCCCCCGAAAAATTTTTACCGCCCCCCCGAACGAAATGAAATTTGTATCATTTATATAGAAAATATATACTTTTAACAGTGTCCGCCCCCCCGAAGAAAGTTTACCGCCCCCCCGAAGATTTCAAGTGCCCCCCCGGAGAAAAAAGTCTGGAAGAAACACTGATCATCTTGCTAATCAAAGACCTCAACCTTTGGCTTGGCATGCAGTGTAAATACCACTTAAATTACTTTTTGCTAACTTGAACTTAATAGAAATTAAATTGTCCCAGTAGATTCTATACTTTCATTTACACTTGGACACAACACTTGTAAACATGCAGATGAAATGCATGAATAATTACCCAGATTTCTTCAGAAGAGCTATCTATGTTAGTTTGCATGTTCAGTTAAACTTTGGTCACAACTCTGCTTTAAAAAAAAGAGAACTTGTTTCCCAAGCAAAGTGAAAAATCATTAGATAATATCTGGCGGCTCTAAACAACTATCTGAAAAGGTATGGCGGCTCTAAACAACTATCTGAAAAGGTATGGATTTTGATAGAGGCGAGGGGGAAAACTAAAGCTCAAATTGAAAAAAAGGATTTCCTCAAAAAAAATCAGTCAAGTCACATCCCTGAATATTGAAGTGAATTTCCTCCAGCACAAGTATGTCAACCTGTTATGTGCAATATAGCTCCAACTTCAGCTCTTTGTTTCTTTCTGAATGTGCATACATAGCCTTTGGTCACCGAAGAACAATCTGCAAGGCAGAAGTAGTTTATGTAGTTTTCTCTCCTAGATGGGTTGCTGTCCCTAACTAACAAGCCTCATCTGCTCAGGGTTCTAACACAGAACTTTTGGAGTTGGCAAGCAAATGCTCTCCTTCCTGACCATGCTGTCACCTATTCATACCCCATTTAATAATGTCTATATTAAGTAAGCTTACATCTCTGCAAGCGTACATTTAACTTTCCTTCATTTAAAAAATATTAACTAATATAATGTATAATAATGACATGGCATCACATTAGATTAAAAATAAAAATATATTTATTTTTAAAATTAGCTTATTAGAATTGCAAGTTTATAGAATATGCAGGTCTCTTGGCTTTTAAAGATAGAAGTCGCAACCCAATTAAGGTTGGTACCTGTGATCTAAGCTCTAAAAAACATTTGCAACCACTTACGTTGATATCTTGGATAATGCAAACAGTTCCATGTCAGTTGTATTTCATGATAGCATTTGTGAAACCTATTAAAAGTTGATGTAAAGTAAAATGCATTCAACTCAAAAGTAAAGGACCTGTCTTTCGTTTAAAGTAATTTTTTTGCACTAATACCTACTCATGGTCAAGCTCTTTTACTCCTGTTCCATGGAAGTCCTATAAGGGTACACAACCTTTAAGAAGAAAATCAATAATTTTTTACATATATATATATATATATATATATATATATATATATATATATATATATATATATATATACATATACATATATATATATATATATATATATATACATATATATATACATACATACATAAATATATATACATACATACATATATATATATACATACATACATATATATATACATACATACATATACATATATATATACATACATACACATATATATATACATACATACATATATATATATACATACATACATATTATATATATATACATACATACATATACATATATATATACATACATACATATTATATATATACATACATACATACATATTATATATATATACATACATACATATTATATATATATATACATACATACATATTATATATATATACATACATACATATTATATATATATACATACATACATATTATATATATACATACATACATATATGGGTTGCAAATTTTTCTACAAGCCTGGGTTTGAACATCCACAGAGGGAAAAGTAAAGTTCTCAAAGTCAATGCATCAAACAACAACCCTATAACACTGGCAGAAGAAGCCCTAGAAGAAGTGGATAGATTCACCTACCTTGGAAGTATTGTTGATAAGCAAGGTGGGACAGAAGCAGACATAAAAATAAGGACGGGTAAGGCAAGAGCAGTCTTCAACCAACTAAAAAATGTTTGGGGTTCGGGAGATTTAACCCTTAGAATAAAAATCCGGATCTTCAACACACTAGTAAAACCTGTTTTACTCTATGGAGCCGAGACATGGAGAATAACTGCTATAAATAAGAAGAAAATACAATCATTTATAAACGCATGTCTCAGAAAGATCCTGCGAATTCGCTGGCCTAAAACCATCAGAAATGATGTTCTATGGCAACGGACAAATCAACTGCCAGTGGAAGTAGAGATCCTCCAGAGAAAATGGAAATGGATTGGCCACACACTCAGGAAGCCTGTATCCAGCATAACAAGACAGGCCCTCACCTGGAATCCACAAGGCAGGAGGAAGAGAGGCAGACCAAGAAAGACCTGGAGACGTGACCTGGAAGAAGACACCAAGAAGATTGGATACACCTGGGGACAGTTGGAGAGACTAGCCCTGGACAGAGACGTCTGGAAAGCTCTTGTCAGCGGCCTATGTCCCAGTAGGGACGACAGGCAAACATGACATGACATGACATATTATATATATATATATATATATATATATATATATATATATATATATATATATATAAACATTACCTATAAATCTACAATGACTATTTTAATAAAATGGTTTAATTACAATGTAGTTATTTTGTCATTAGCAATGAGACTTACATGTAAAATATTTATTTTTACCAAAGAAAGTTCAATGTTGTTCCTTCATTTGCAATTTAAGATACATACCAGGTACTCCATAAATATTTCTTCACAGAAACCACTGCATACATTGTAGAACAACCTTTACTAAAAGTTACCAATCATTGGCGAAAGCAGCAGAATGGGTATTATACAGATGAATAGCTTTCAAATGCAATATTTAGCTTCATCCTATAAAAGTGATTAGAATTTGATACGCCACAGACATACAACAACAGGAAAAGATTTAAAGAATAGAATTTAGAAGTTTGGTTTTATTAGTCTGAAGATCAATAACTTCTGGAACAGTGGAGGGCCCTGAAAAGGGCCCAAAAAAAAAAAAGATAGACTGCTGCAGAAAGTAATGTGTCCTTGTGGTAATATGCTTTATATCAAAATTGTGCAATGGAATATATGAATACAATGAACAATGAAATCTGTTACGGCCAGCAACAAAATATCCTGTCAAAACTTATACTTTCTGTTTTAGTCTTTTAAAGCTGATCGCATGCCATTAGAATATAACTTGTTGAACTTTCTGAAGTCATAGACTTTTTAAGTTAAGTTATATTAACAATTGATTTACCACATAACACTATTTTAATGTACATCCATCAAAACCTTTGTTTCTCAATCCAACCATGATACATAATACATGTCAACAATCATCACCAGTATTTTCCAACAAGTTAAAACTTGGAGAATCTTTCTTAACTAGTACATTTAGAGTAATATTAATTACATGTAAACAACAGGTTTGTGTATAGAAAGCATTTTAACTTTGTACTTCATTTGTTAATTAGGACAAATCATTAAAATTTCAATTAACCACACTAGAAATGTGCAGTTTTTTAAGAATTACATTTTTTTCTTCTAGTTACACTATATTTAAATTGTGAGTTAAGACATGAGCTAAAAAGCAAGAACAAATTTTTATAAATTACTAATACTAGAATATAAAGGGAGTTTTTCTTTTTTTTTTTTTTTTTTTTTGGTTTTTTTTTTTACTCCCTTTGAGTATATTCTTTTTATTTTCTTTTTTAAGAATATGTTTGCCTTTTTTTCTCTTCATAAAAATGAGTTTTAACGAGTTTTCATTATAAATACATTATTATTGCCATATAAACAAGATACTCCACATTTTAAACTGCCATTAACATAATTATGTAAAATGCATTTTTCCAAGGTCAAGCAAAATATGAGATGACTTCACAATACCACTTTGCATGAAAAAACAAAACATGCAACACAATAGTGCTGCCAATAATTCAGTACTTTGCTTTTTCATACTAAATGTGTAAAGCTAAAATCTCACTGCATTACAGAGCAAATGCCATCACAATACTGGCCGCATAGATGAATGATGAAAAATGATGAAGTATATAAAAGTTTTATAATGTACAGTATAAACAATTTTCATTCAAACAACATACCAGTCACACTCACACATTTTGTCAAGTTAAATCAGTTTTTAATCATTAATAGCATGGATTGATCCCACGGAATAGGTTGTTATGCTATTGATTGTAAGTGATAAAATCATATGTAGTGTTGATATTACTAGTAATTTAATAGCATCACTACACAAGATTTAAAAGCACCAAATGTGGAATGTGCATTATACAAATTACTCTGTTCATTATAATTCACAATTCATTCATTCATAAAATCAGACTTTCAATAAACAAGAAATTTTTGTCCTTTAAAATAAGGAGCCACTGTAATTTTTGTTTAAAAAAATTAGCAGCATGTAAAGTGCTGGCTAAAAATACATTTTGTTTCGATAATTTTGTATGTAGAACAAAATTTTCTTGATAGTTCAGTCCAATTTTTCTGTTAAAAATGACATTCATAAAAACAGAGAATATGTTTTAAGTGACAAAGAGTATTTTTGTTTCATATGAAAATTAGCTACACTCTGGAAGTAATTAAAAACAAAATTAAAATTAAACACTAGTTGATTTTAAAATGGTTAAAAGTAAAAAATCTATATAAAAATGATTCCTTTAAATATTGTATGCCTCTAGCAATCCATGAAATCGTATCTTTGAATAAAATGTTTTAATAAATTACTTAACTGGCATTAAATTACACTAACAAAGAAAATGTCATTTTAAAAATTAAGTCACATCATTAACATGAACACATATCATTGGATAGTAACAAGATTTAAAACTTGTCATTGTCATTCAAGATGAAATATGAACAGGCATATTACCACAAGGAGACTCAATTCAAAGTAAAAGATAATCAAGAAATCTACTTTGAACAAAAAAGATAAAAAGGATGAGAAGAAGCATTAAAGAATATTTTAATATGTACCCCCTACCCCTACCTAGCAAACAAATTTATATGCCCAAAAATTAGAACACGAGAGAAGGAAAATTAATTAACCTTGAATTTACATAATTCCAAATAAATGTTACATATAACTTGTATTTTGTTTCATATTCTAAAATGTAGCCTAACAAAAGCAACTTATTGAAGATAAATAAATAGTGAGTTTTAAGAATCGTAAGCATATCTCAGTCAGTTGAGTGAAAAATTCGTTGTCCATTAGAGCAATACACATCAAACTTCAGTGTCCAAAGAGTGCCATTATCACTAGGCAGCCAGATGGCAAGCCAAAATTGTTTTCAGTGAAAAACCACCAATTGTGGGTGGGGATGAACGCATGGGTGATGATTGAAGCCATTCAAGGGGTGGGAAAGGTAATTGACTTGGGTGAGGTGCAACAGAGGACTCCATAGCATAAGCATCACAAACTTCAGAGGCAGGAATGAAACTGACAAAGCCTTCAGATTTTGCAGAGCTTGATAAAACACCAGCACTACTACTGCTGCTATCAGAGTCTGAAAGATCCATGTTCAGTGTTTCTGAACTTCCTCTGCGAGGCAAAGAACGGGGACTTCCTCTACCATTAAACTGCCTTTTATGTGATTTGTGATTAGATTTGTTGCCTTGACGTAATTTTTCCTCAATAACATCAATTTGTCCAGGATTGGCTTGAATATCTTGACTATTGTAAAATAGCCCTGGACTTGTACTTGAATGTTTTCTTTGTCCTTGGCGCCACAAGTCAGCAGGGAGTCTTTGTCTGGCTGCTGAAGGCATTTTCACTGATTATCTGTTGTTAAGATAAAAAGAAGCAATTTTGTTTGATAAAAAGATGGTTCACAGAAAAGTTGTAATTATTTTACATAAATCAACATTGCATCATCAGATACTAATAGTAGGCCTAGCTTTCTCCAAATAATAAAGCCTACTAAACAGACTCTGAAAGATATTTTTACTATTAAACCATGTTTTGAACAGGATTTTATGAACTTAAGATTTTACAATAGGCCTATAGAATAATCTAAAACTTAAAGAAATCAGCTGAGATTGGATGTTATACTATTTGCTGTTTTAAGTGACATGTATTTACTACTTAAATTAATATGTACTTAAATTTGCATTGTTATTTAAAAACTTTATCTGCAAAGTTTTGTAAACAAATAGTTATCAATCACAGTTCCTGTACAGCAAATCGATATTTGTCTTACGAAAGTGAAACATCCAATTCTAACTTAGGCTTGATGAAAATAAATAGAAATGTAGCCTTAAACTCATCAAATTATTTTCAAGTTCTCTGGATTTGCAACTTTTATAGCATTGATTCTAAAAATATAAAATTTATGAATTAATTTTAGGTTCAAGATTTTAATTTTTATTCTTTTTTTCAGTCCCTTTTGTTTGCTGAATCTAAAAAAACATTTTTATTCCATGTCAACAACATGATGGAAGGGGTAAAACTCCATTTTAGCGTATTTTATTTGCTACTTCACGTTCACCTCCAGTTGAGCGTATTTTATTATAAACACAACCAAAACAAACAAAAATGTTAGGAAACACTAGGATTAGAATCATTACATGATAGATAGGCCCTATAGATCTACTTATTTTTATATGAATGTGTTTTAATTAGAAAAGGTAAAAAATATAAATAGGCCTAAGCATTACAGTTCCAATTAAATAGTGTGTGATCGTCAGCGGGAGAAAAATCCCTATTTGGTCAAGGGTTCACAGTGAGTTCACATTGACTTTAATAATAATTATCAGCATACGTCATAGCATAGGGTCATTGTGAGTTCATGTAAGTTAATTTATATTTTATAGAATCATGCCTTGCAATTATCATTAATTATGCAGTTTCTACTTTAGCTATTGACATGAAAATCGTAACTGACACGAACATAGATCTAGATCTCTAGGTCTAGAATCTAGTGACAGTCTAGTCTAGGCCTAAAAATCAATTTTAAAAACTAAACCAAAATTTCATAAAGAAATAGGGAGAGTTATTTCCTAACGTTTTTTGTGTGTTTCGGTTGTGTTTATAATAAAATACGCTCAACTGGAGGTGAACGTGAAGCGGGGAATAAAATACTTAAAAATACGCTAAATAATAAAATATAAAATAAAAATGGAGTGTTTTTTTTTACAACTCGCTCGCTCCATTAATTTCTTAAATATAAAATTGGTCAAGATTACAATTCTACTAACAACCAAACACACCTATTTTATGGAATAGTCTATTATCGGACATCGTTATCTAAAATCATCCCTAGCCTCTAGATCTAGATGCTATCAGAAAATATTATTGACGACGATAGAAATTAGGGCAAGCCCAAGGACGGAAACAACAAAAACAGCGAACGCCATCGTCGACTGACAAATTTTGCTTACCCACAACTGACGTTGGTCGATTTGTTTCACTTTAAATGTGAACAATAACTTTTTAATTTGTAGTCTATTAGATTAACTATTTATTCAGAATTCTTAATCAATACTGATGAAAACAAAATGTCACACTTGTATCAACGTAAAGTAAAATAAAACTGCCACAAACATCGCTCGTAAACAAAATGTCTTTCCTTCTTCATAGTTTTCCACCTCAACAGATGATGACGTAGTTTAGACCAATGAAAAGCCGTTTATTTTTAGTGTTGACCTTTCTTTCTGACATCAGAAAGTACAGTTTCTAGTCACGAGCTGGAAATTTTCCTTTTATGTAGTTACTAGGCATGCTGCCCAGCTTCGCTTAGGCTTTCGAAAACATTGAGAATTTGAATGCTTAATTAATTCGCCCGAAGGTCGGTCTACGACCTCAAGAGTTATGAAGAGGTTCCTCCGTGGACATTTTTTTTCGATTTATAGCTCATATAAGGTACCGGTCAGTCGAGGTCAGTTTTGACCCCCACATCGTAGACTTTTCGGCCAACCGGCCCCCGTGTTCTGTCGCACCAAGGCAAGATCATGCCAAATTTGAAGCGCCTGCGGCGCCGGGAAGTGCCCTATCGGACACCCGACAATCTAGATCTAGATCTAGATTCCTAAAAGAATTTTTTTTTTAAGTTTAGCCCGAGCATAATAAAAAAGAATACATTAACCAAGTTGACTTGCTGTGTCTCGAACCTGCACCACCTGCGTGGTTTAATGTACACTAACATCTCCGCTATTTAGGCACCTTATAAAATACGGAGAATGAAACACGTATTTTAAAATCTTAACTTACGCGAATATGCCTATTCTTTCAAATTAATTTTTTATCCCAAATTAGCCAGTTCCAAACAAAGATTTTGTATAAAATAAATAAGTCTTGAAATAGTTTAGTCCTAATATAGAAATTTATTTTTGGAATTGATTTTAGAGAAGTTAGAGTCTAAATCTAGATCTTAGCGTCCACCCCATGCGGATCATCTCAACGACAGAATCGTTGAGCCTCTCTCCGACTGTGTCGCTGAGAATAAAACCCTTTGGTGGTTTCTCAGTCAACACTGTCGTTGAAAATAAAACAATAATTAAACATGCTCTCCACAATTAGGAAAGCATAAACTGTAGGTGTTTTGAAGCTAATATTCCAGCCATTTTGTTTTGACGAGAGCTAGTCCAGATCTAGACTAGATCTACTTGATCAACGATTTACACTGATGTAAAACCTACGTAAATCAAATCTACAAGATCAGGATTTACATTTAGATCTAGAAATCTACATTATTGACTAGAGAGAAAAAGTTAAAAGTATGCCTAGTGCGTCGAAAGTAAATGATAGAATCTAGATCTAGAAAATCTAGTAATTTTTCAGTAGCACTAGCTAGATCTAGTCACTAGTCTAGATTGACTAGATAGAAAGATAATTATTTCTGTGGCATAGCTGTCCTTTAGCATTTAGTATCTAGATCTACTCAATTTTAAATCTCTTCTATTTTCAAATTGTTTGTAGATCTATATCTACAAGATTAGGCTTAGGTCTAAAAAATATTAAAAATATACTAAAGTTAAAGCTACACAAGTACTGAGAGTACACATCATTCCTAAACTTAATGCCATTAATGGCTAAAATTCACTGAGCATTGTTGCACTTAAGACTTAAACGTAAGGCCTAAATACTAAATAAAATTATTACGTTAGCTTAATTTTCGTGACAGCTTTTCTCTTCTTTTTTGCCATGCTTAATTTAAGTCACTTTCATGTGCTGGTAGCTTAAAATAAAACTTGTTTAGGAAGTTTATTTCTTTCTCCCTTTCATAATGCTGCAAATATGAGTAAGACGCTTATTATTATAATTAAATAGCTGCGATAAATAATCATTTGCATCTTTTTGGGGGTATTTCTTTTACATGAACTGTGAAATACGGTATCTCAAATTTTGCGCGTAACTCAAAGCGAAATATTACTCGCTCAACTGCTCGTATTTAAAAAATCTGGTATGTCGAGGCACTAGAATGTTGAGGTACCACAGGATCTACTATGTATTGAAAGAAAACATAAATTAATTATAGAATAATAGGCAAATATAGTAATAAAGTAGGCCTTATAGCTTTAGATTTTATTCAGCCTACTAATAAATAATTAAATAGGCCTAAAGTAGTACTAGATATTAGTTAAATCACTAGTATTGTGTAGGGTTATTTTTATTAAAAAAACAGATCACATCTTATACATTAAGGCGGGCTCAATAAAATAAAAATAATTTATTTAGGACCTAGGCCTATCTTTTGGAGATCTAAAATTCTAAATGAAAAATAAATTATTAATTAGACCAACAATAGGCATAGTATGCTAAATCTATTTTAGTATTTAAATTTAAGGTTCGGCCATCTACTAAAAATTTTATAAATGTCATAAAATGGCCTACTTAATTATAATTACTAATTACTATTAGGCCTAAGTTTAAACTAGAGATAGCCTATTTTATTAGTAGAAAAAGTATTAGTCATAGTTAAGATGGTATAGCCTTATGTAAATTAATGTAATCAGTGTTAGATATTATGATATTGATCAAGCAATTATTATAATTATATAATATCGGAAAGGGGCCTAGCACTCTCTAAGTCATTAGTCGATTAGGTCTTACAAGTAGTTTAGCCTATTTATATATTATAGGGCCTATAGGCTGTTATTTAAATTAGGCCAAAGGCTTATTAGGAAAAGGCTTAATAGGCTTTAGTTTTTAATTAGTTAATTAGGCAACAAGGCAGAGGCTTAATGTTGCTTATAGATTTAATTTGAAATTATTATGATATACGCTACTCTGCGACTATCACTATAGACTGCTATAGAGTATATTATAGCCTAGGCCTATCTAAATAAAATAATTCAACTCACTTAGCTTACTATAATTTTTAAAAATGTTTAGTTAAGTATTCAGCTCTCTATGTCAGCTAAGGCCCATAATTGTAATTATCCTACTGTTAGATCTATTAATTATTTAATAATTAGTAGGCCTAATTATAGGAATTAGGTCTGATACATTAAGTCCTATACATTGGTCGTAGAGTAATACTATTGGGCTAGTAATTATATACAATATCTATACAAGCCTACTTATCGTTAATTTGGAAGTCTTTGCATTGACCTTAGTTTTCAGATGTAGCAGCCTAATTTTTATCAGATTATACCATAAAATCAAAAGTAGACTTGTAGATCTTTTTAAAACAAGGCATGAAATATTAATTTAAATAATATAAATTAAACAAATAGCCTAAATAACAACTACACAAAGTTAAAGTCATAATAACTTTTTATAAAGGTATCTTGAATTTCAACTGGAGGTAGTTTTGATAAATATTAGTATTCTGAACATTAAAATAGGTAGACTTAACATACATTTGTTCTGAAAACATATTTAGAAATTGGTTTTAAAAAATGAGGTTAGGATTGGGGTGATAACTAGTTGAGGATTAGATATGATATTCATTGTGTTTATCCATGTTGTAATTTCTCTTTTACAGGTTCATCCAAAAAAAAGGGAAGATCTGATTTTTACCAGTAAAAAGACTACAGCATACTAAATGACACAAGATGTTCTTTCTCTATTACCTCTTACATTTGACATAAAAGTAGGAAAAGGTATGACAATTATTAATAAGCTGCTTTAAATTTTATAATTTGTTTTTTTATAACTTAATTGTACCATTTTTATTTCCAATAATGATAAATATAATTTAGTGTCATTTATATTTTAAAATATTTATATTATACTAGATATAATTTACTTCTATAATATTACTATCCAGGTTTAACAGTCTATGCCTACAACATAGATCTCCAGGACTAAAAGTACACAAAATGGCAATCAGTATATCACAAGTGTAATAACACATGCATCTAATCTGCTTCAGTGGCGAGAACTGGGTGAATCCTCTCAAACATTAATCAGGTAAGTTATCACAAGTTTGCTTTGGTTTATTTTGAACATGTTGATTGAGATAGATTTTTATTTGTATAAATATTGTATTTAAAAAAATATTTTACCTAGTAAAACCAAGTCAGTGGTGATGATTGATACAATATCATTATGTATTTTTTTAAATATTTGTTTTGCAAAATATGCTGATTTGCAGGAAGGATATATATATATATATATATATATATATATATATATATATATATATATATATATATATATATAGGCCTATATATATATATATATATATATATATATATATATATATATATATATATATATATATAAAACAGTATCATTTAGTGGTTTGTCTTACAAATTTGAATTATTTACTTAATCTGTCTTAACTGCTCAACAGGAACTAGGCATACCTAATGAGCGTCAAGCTGATACAGTAGATGTACAGAAGAGTTTATACACAAGGTAAATATTGATAAATTTTAAGTTTTCTTTTTTTAAGGATACATGTAGTGTTTTGGGAGAAAGGAATTAAATTATTTAAATTAGGCCTAATAGTTTATTTCTCTAGCTTATGTTTCACTTAAAATAACTTAAATTTTTCCCCCTTTATCACTAAAGCAAAATTTTATAGATATCTATGCCATGATTCATCTTATTCAATCACTTTTTTCTTGTTTTGTTTTGATGTTTTAAACTAATTTAAACTAAAGATTTTTTTTTTTTGCTAATTTTATTATTTCAGATGGATGATTAAGAAAATCATTTTGTTTTGTTTCAGGAAGTGAAAAGTGATGTAAAAGGCAACTAATACTTCCATCTACCATAGTTAAACAAGAATCTGCAAATGGTGATAATTGCAATAATCTTGATATATTAATGTTTGGCTTTATAATTATATGCAATTGTTTCATAAATAAATTATTTCTCAAAATTTGATGTATTTGGTTTTCTTACTTTGTACATAAGATGCAAGTGATTGAAAGCTGAAAAGGGTTGTATGTAGTTATAGTATTCCCAGCACAAGTTGACATTAAAACAGCTGAAGCCCTTTTAAAAAAAAAAAAACAAAAAAAAAAATAATAATCTAGGAATGCTGTTTCTATTAGCTGAGCATATATTTGGAAAAGAACTTAATTGTTTACCAGAGAATACTGTGACCCAGTTTGTACTCCAGGCAAAAAGTGTCTATGGTTAATATTATTAAGTTAAAGAAAAGTATCAAACAAACAGGATAATATTAATAAGCAAGACCTCCACACTAGAGAAGTATGGAATGAGTGTTGCATGGAATCCAAATCAACTTTGATGTTGCTAATTGCTACACTGGCCATAATTGGCCTACATTGATTTTTGCTGAGGTAGGCAACTGTTTTTGTTTAACTTTAGATGTCGACTAAATAAAGAAGAAAACTGACACGCCAATACCAAAATCAAGAACTTGTAAAGTTCGTGGTTGCTAAACCGAGAAGTCCTGAGTTCAATCTCCCGTGTAGATGAGGCTCTATAGTTGGGGATAGCAACCTATCTTGGGGATACAACACTTGTTCTTGGATTGACAAAAGATAAGAAAAGAAATCCAGAAAGAAAAGCAGCTGAATGAAGAAGAAAAAGGCTGGATATATTCGGTATCAACTGTACAATTTTAACAGACACACACAGAGGCGTAGCGAGGGGGGGGGGGGGGGGGGGGGCGGGGGGGGGGACATATGTCCCCGGGCGCCGACCTTAGGGGGGGGGGCGCCAAATTGAAAGTTTGAGGGGGGGGTGCAAATGAAAAGTTCGAGGGGGGGGGGGTGCAAATCGAAAGTTTGAGGGGGGGGTGCAAATGAAAAGTTCGAGGGGGGGGTGCAAATCGAAAATTTGCTCCCGAGGGGGGCGCCAAATTGACAGTATGTCCCCGGGCGCCGGGAAGGGTCGCTACGCCTCTGGACACACATTTCAAACTACACATGCATTTCAATGACAAAGTTCAGTGAAGCCATAATGTTGAGTTTGACTGAATGAAGAACGATATTGTTATTTCAAGCAAAGTTAAGGTTTATTGTCTTAAAGACATTGTCGTGGATTGATTTAGACTAAGACTTCCCTGTTAAATAAGCCGACAACGATGGCTCTTTTTATTTCTCGTCTTTGATGTTGCTTTCAAGAACTTGTATGAGATTAGATTACCTACATACATAAGGCTACACAGTTTGGAATCTTGGCTTTCTAATAGTGGACCTGGCTACATGACATTACCCCCACCCCGGAGGAGACCCCCCCCCCTCCCGTATTTACCCCCCGGGGCAATTACCCCTTGTCAATAACCCCCCTGGAGAATCCCCCCCCCCCCCGGCCTCAAGTTATGATCCTAACTCAAACTCTATACCTATGTATTTCCTTAATCCTAATCGATAAAAAAATGACCAAACCCTAAGCATTCACCTCAGCCTAAAACTTAACACATAACCAAAACCAACTCTAGACTTAGGTTTCAGCCTAACCTTGACCATAACACTAACCCTAATCCTAACCTTAATCCTAACCCTGACCATAACACTAACTCTAATTCTGAATCTAACCCTAGCCCTAACCTTAGCCCTAACGCTAACCCTAACCTTAGCCCGAACGCTAACCCTAACTCTAGCCCTAACTCTAACCCTAGCCCTAACTCTAACGCTAACCCTAACCATAACCCTAACCTTAGCACAAACGCTAGCCCTAGCCCAAACTCTAACCCTAACTCTAACCCTAGCCCTAACGCTAATCCTAACCCTAGCCGTAACCCTAACCATAATCTTAACCTTAGCCAGAACGCTAACCCTAACTCTAACCCTAGCCCTAACGCTAACCCAAACCCTAACCCTAGCCGTAACCCTAACCATAACCCTAACCCCAGCTGTACCTTAAGAGGTGTGTGCGTGGGGGGGGGGGAGATGTCCTCCTTGGCGGGGGGTAAATGACAGGGGGTAATTGCTTCAGGGGGGAGAGAACTAATAATCTGTAAGTCCTACTATTCAATACATTTGGTTAACACAATGTCGTCACACATGTAAAACAAAATAAGCAGTCTTTTTATTATTTGTATCCTTAAAAAATGCAAAATAAATGCTACGCCATTAACTCAACCCTCTTTTTTCTCGTTACATATCGTCACATAAAGCCACCGCCCAAAATGATGGTGACGTCAATATACAATCATAAAGTGGTCACCCATTAACCACGACTCACTCTTCAGACGATTTTGCACCAAACCCCCCTTCTCTAATTGTAACAAATTTTCACAAAAAGCCAGATCTTCGCTTCCCTCCCCCCCACCACTCTCTTTAAAAACACTACACCTCAACACATAACCCCCTCCGCCGTTCCCCTGAAACTGCATTTTTACTTTCTCGTATATACGAAGTATAGAGAAAGTCTTGTAATCGTGCAAAAAAAAAAAATCGAGATTTTACAAATCTCGACGTTTTACACCTCACTGATACGGAAAAACATAATTTTGCAATCTTGTCCGTATGTCTGTGTCTGTGTGTGTCTGTGTGTAAACACGATAACTTGAGTACCGTTACAGCTAGGTTGATGAAATTTCATATATAAGTATTTTATCAAAATCATAGATCCGTATAAACTTTTGAGTGATTTCCGATAACCGAAAGTGGTACTTTTTCTACTTTGAATTTTTCAAAAGCCTATAACTTGAGTACTATTGCAGATAGATAAATGAAATTTCACATGTAAGTAAAAGATCTAATTCTCTACCTTCTGTCAAATTTTGAGTAATTTCCGTTGACAGGAAGTACTAATTTACGCTATTTCCGATTTCTCAAAAAACGCACGTAAATTTATAAAGTACTAATAATGTTGCGCACTATTATGCACATCTTTATTTGACGTTCACTTGGTGTGCAATTCTTTTTTCTACGAGGTTTTATTCTATTTTAAAAAGTTTAAGTATTTAAAATGGATTAAAAATCATGTCTATATCCCGAGTTGCCATTCCCCGTAGTGTTATATTAGAATATTCGAGAAAGTTTAGGGGAGATCACTCCCGGTTTATTATAATATGTACTGACCTCGATAAACATTGAGTTAATAAATAAATTAATACCAAAAGCAATCTTTTAAAGCCCGAAATAACGGATGAAAGCAAAAATGTGTCGTCACACTTTCCGATCATCCCTTCCCATAAATGAAAAAAAAAAGCCTGAACATACTAAAGGAGAGTATGGATGTTGATGAAGGATCCCAACGTTAAAAATTAAAGCAGCGCAAAATTTCAGGAATCCATGTTACATATTATTATTTTCCGTAGGTATAACAAAGGTATTTACATTGTGTTTTATATTTTACGAGCCGCTATCATACGCCGCTATTTAGTTGTTTCATTTTCTACTATTCAGTAATTCATAATTTGTGAATTTGACAGTAACAATGCTGCCACTGAAAATATTTGCTTTAAAACACTATCAGTAGCTCGTTAAGGACGATAACCCCCCCCCCCTCCCCACCCTCCTTTCCCAAAAATCCTACCCCCCCCCCCTCCTCGTGAAAGCAGCCCCCTCTGAGCTACCTCCACTAAGTTTAAAATCGTTTCAAACTAAATTATCTGCCCCTAATAGCTGTCACTAAACCCGGCTCTACGATTGTAAACATTTAGCTTGAACCACAGCTCACCAGACCATGCAGGGATGGGGGTGGTAGGGATAGAGAGAAAGAGAGGGGGCTGCTAGGGGCGCTTACAGCTTGGTGTTTTCTATGGTATCCATGAAGAGAATTATTTATATAGAAGAAATATATATTAAACCAGCGTACCCGTCCCGCGCGTTGCTGCGGTCTCAGAAGACAGACTGACGCAATATTTTAAGAGGATTCCATAATTACATTAGCAATCACGTATTTTTTTACGCTTGACATTGATTTCTAAATCTAAACAATTTAAATGTAATCAAAGCCGGTGTTATATTGCTTTCATCATAGTTGTTGAGGCGCAAATTCTACCGCACACAGTAGCCCATTGTATCCATAATGTATCGCACTCTTTAAAACGAACGTAGGCGCAATAGTGCTTATAAGGGACCCACACAGGGGCGCTAGACCACATGCCAGTGGTGCAGTAGACAAAAAATTTCCCTACTGTAGGGCGCTCTTTTAAAACTCATAGTGTTCCTCCCGAAGCCAGTGGCGCATCGGGTCAAACGAATTGTCATCGAATGTCGTGTGCCACAGGGTCAATATTGTAGAGTGCTCTTTAACACAACCTTAGGATATCTCAGGGCGCCAAATCGCTTCCTGCCGGGGCGCCGGCAGACGCGCCTGATTCCATATAGTCAAAAATTATTGTCGCCCATCGTGTCTTTAGTGTATAAATTTAAAAAAAAACGAACGTAGGCGTCATAGTGTTCACATGGTAGCACGGGGCGCTTCGGGTTACGTAATATCCGGGGCGCCGGCGGCTGCGCCTGTTGTTGCTTTTTTACCTTAGCCCCCATGCAGTTTTAATATCGCCGCCCTGGATTTTCAGGCGCCAAGCCGTTCATTAACAAAAATCGCACCCTCCAGGGAAACGCCCATAATAAATTTTAATTTTTGTTTTCGCAGAAACCTTCTCGTGAGTGTTTTCATTAACTCTCGAAAGTTTAACGGCACTCAGATAAACGATGTCAAACAGCATCCGTTTTGTTTTTTACAAACTGTGTAGAGAAAAATTGCACCCTCCAGAAGCGCCGCCCTGTTAAAATAAAAAAAAAATAACCTCCCCTGAAGTTTTATGGCGAGCGGATGAACGGGATTAAACCGCAATCTACTTTTACGTATATATACCCTATATAGGGATCTATATATAGAATCGATTCGCGCCCTGCTGGGGCACCGTGCTTGTGAAATATATCCAGTGGTATTCTTAACTTAAGTTGCATGGCCATAGGATGAAAGGTGTAGTGCTGCATAGAGGACAT